TGGGTGAGGGGTGGATGGGTGGGTGTTTAGGTGGGTGTGTTGGTGTTCCGTTGGGTGGCTGATCCTGAAATGCGGCCGAGTCTTGCTTCCGGCGCTGCTACGAAATTAATCTGACCCACTCCCAACATCCTCCGCATCTCATCCCTCCTGTTAGGTAGCGGAGCCTTCTCTGAGTCAGCCACACACACACACACACACACACACAGAGCGCTAACACACACACACACACTCTTTAAATTTCCTCCTTTCCACCGGAATATTCATACTCTTTCACATATACAGTGTACTCTCAAGGGCTTGGACTTGTGCTCATTGAATTAATCGCGTTCCAATTATCAAATGCACCCCGTCTCTCCCTTTCTCTCTCCCTTTCTCTCTCTCTGAGGATGGGGCGGGGGTTGGGTTGTCAGCTGATTAGATAATGCAAATATATTATTTATAACACTTTGCACGTTCTCGTCGCTTTATGGAATTGCTTAGCAACCAGGGAAATATATTCTATCTAAGACCTCTGATAACCACAGAGAGAGAGGGAGTGTGTGTGTGTGTGTGTGTGTGTGTGTGAGAGAGAGGAAGAATAAAACTGGGCGGGCAAACAGAGAGACGACTGGGAGTTGGCTGGTGCCTGCGTTGCTATGTATGGCTCATCTGGGCTCACTTATTTTTTCCGTTTTCTTTGACACCTCTCTCTCTCTCTCTCTCTCTCTCTCTTTTTGCACTCACTCCGTCCCCCTCGTTTGCTCTCTATTCATTGTTCCCAGTTTAGCTCTTTCTCGCTTGCTCACACTCTCTTCTTTCCTCTTCCTTCCTTCCGTGGCTCTTTTATCGCCCCTTTCTTCCATTCCTTTTCCCTTCCTGTTGTGGTATTCCCATGTGAGTGTGCATATGGTGCTTTTGTACTGTTGTGCATACATATATCTGCTGTAATCTGTTAATGGGTGAGCATCTACTTTGCATTGCAGGAATCTATTCTAGATGCACAGTATGTGGAGGTTTCTTTGCCATTCCATCCAAGTGTATTCCAGCGGTAGAGAGGCTCAACATGTAAAGGTCAGCATACTGTAGTACACAGTTTGCTTTCTGAAAGTGCTAAGAGGTTTGACCTTCTGAATTATCACTCTCTGACATGTGGGTGAGTCATTAAACTCTCATGATGGACAGTCAGACGTTGAACTCACCCAGACGACTTCATTTTGAATTCCAGTGGAGGTCCTTAAAGTTCCCTAAAGACACAAAATACAGTGGTGTAAATCTTCTAAATCTTCTAGAGGTTCAGGTAGCTTCTCTTTCCTGGTCCACTGGGTTACAGTATATAACCTCAGGTATATGTGTAGTAGCTCTGAGCCTCCAAGGGTTCAACAGGCGACGCAACTCCCCCACCGGCTGAACTTCTGAACTTATGGATCTGATCCATGCACACACACACACACACACATTGAAATTTAACCATAACGTTAGTCCTATTCTTTTGTTATCTGGTCACTTGCATCCCTTTAGCTTTGTAGGCAGCACGGTTGACAACAGCAGATTGTAAGTCTAAATTTAGAGGTTCGCTGTCCCTACACTGTCTGGAAGACATTCATTTCTGGGAACTGATCCACTAGAGCATTTTGTCACTGATTGATTTAAGATAACCAGCAATCTGGTTTGTTCAGTTTGGATCCATAACCCATCACACATTTGTTAAAAGCTTATAATGTGGCTTAAATGTATGCTTTGCTTGAGGCATGAAAGATTTCTGGTAATAAAGAAGTTGTCCAATAAATGTTATTCCCATGAATAAATCTCAGTGGTGTAAATTGTAGATTAGAATGTATTAAAGTATTCTTTTTGTCGTTGCATAATCTGACATGCGAGTAACACACTGAAAAACAAGTGCATCGATTCTATAATCCAATCTCTGTTGGGTCTGTTTGTTTTGGACATTTAGGAAGCTTATTTAGTTTTCTTTGTTCTAGCTGATGGAAATAAACTTAGTTAAACTGTGTGTGCTGTTTGTAGCTTAAATTTAGCTTGCAAAAAAGGATGAAACCGCCGCTGCCCCCTCGCTCGGTTTGGCTCTGCTCGGTTCAGTTGCGCTTTAATGGCGCGACAAGAAACAATTGTGCACTGCCAAGCCCCATGGGATCAGCTGAGGTAAAACTGTAGACAGATGGCTGGGAGTAATTAAAGCCAAACCAATAGATGCACGTTGTATCAGCGCAGTGCAAGAAACACTCTGACGCAAACTAAATGTTCCCGAGCTCTCGCCTCGCTCCTGTCTGCTCACTCTTCTCTACTCCATCAGACATCTCGCTGCTTGTGGTGCCACTGTTAGTAATTCTCTGTTTTCATCTCAATTGAGAATATTTCTGATAGCCTTCGGTCTTGTTTAACTTTTTCTGACAGACTTTGGTCTCAGTTCAACATCTCGGCGAATATGGCCTTGCTTTTTGCACCAAGAGTGGGACAGGAAGAGATCAATCTGCAGCTCATGTCTGCGTGTTTGGTACCAATCAGGATCCGGCTCCGTTCAAATGAAAAAAGATTCCGTGAAATTATTTTGCGGTGCATAACTGACATTTTTGATTGTTTTGGTGGAACAAAATGTGGCCGTTAATGCTGGTGTGATCCGGCCTTCAGGCTCTGATACCATCATGACTCTTTATTGTGCAAAGTGAATGGCAGGACTCCATATAACCACGGACACTGCACAAGACGTGTCTTTTTAGCAGATAGTAGAAGTGTGACCTCTTTCCTTACAGTCTAGACCATTGACCCGTGTGTGTGTGTGTGTGTGTGTGTGTGTATTGTGTGTTATTTTGCGTTAACTCGTCTTCTTCAGCCTTTGTCGTATTTGCATCCAACCACAGAACATACTGTGTGCTTCTGTTCATTTGATTGAGCAGCTGGCCCAATGAGGATCAACTGTTCCACAGTTACCAGCGGATCTGAAATGTTCCATGTGGGTGGAAGGTTATGGTTTTTGTTGTGTGTGTGTCTGTGTTTGTGTGTTATTCAAGAAGCAGACTGGTTGTTGCTAGAAACGTCAGAACAATGTAACCACAGTGAGTCCAGAGAAAAGAGTCCAGGCAGTAAGATGTGGACGCTAGAGGTCAAAGCAGCGGCGAGGAATGTATCATCCACCTCGAGTATACACGCAGACACTGACGTGCACGCAAACACTCGTATAGGCAAACACACCGTCCTTGTCTGCATATTCTGTGACAGGTTTTTCTCCCAGAATTTGGATCTTCTTGTTTTCCTCACAGCAGCAGTGAGGAAAATGAGAACAGAAGAAGGGAGAAAGAGTGTGCGTGTGTGTGAGTGTTTTTCTATTGAAAGTTGCATCACAGCCCCTAGACAGCTATGTGAATTCCAGCCTAATTAATCTCGAGCTTGTGAGCAGAGACTTCATAACAACCCTCGTCTGTCTGACCTCAGGCCAGCTCGGCATTTGTGTGTGTGTGTGTGTAACAGATAGTCAGAGAGGGGATGATATTGTGCGAGAGAGGCTGCCTGTTGTCACCTTGAGTATGCATGTGACAGTATTGTGTGTGTGTGTGTGTGTACGTGTGTGTGTGAGACAAATTTGACTCCACCCTGTTGGTCGGTTGCGTGATAGACTTTTTCTGCCCGGCCCTCAAACGCACCGCAGCCCCCCAACCAAGCTGAGACAGAACACACGCAGTGACACAACGTTCTGCGTGCCCTTTTTACGCGGCGTCGACAGACATCATCCATAATTTCCTTCTCCCGTACGCAACCTTTTTAAAAAAGCCCCAACCTGACAGCATGCGTTTCGTTTCCACACGCATTAGCTCCAAAGGACCATTTATTCAATTCCTACAGTTTACATAAAATGCCAGTTACTTGTTTCTTTTCCCCTCTGCTTCATATTCCAGATGCACGGACACGTGCATCTACGGTATAAACTGCATACATGCTCACAAAGTGGGAATCCAGTGAGCGGGGAGATCGGATGCCCTGGCAGAGCCCTGGGCAGGAGGCGTCCAGCACGCCACTGCAAATGAGGACTTTGGACTAACGTGTTTTTTTAAAGGAACATACCAATGTCTTTGAACGTTCGGGGCTGTGCAAACTTCTAAGTAGGCTACCAATCAGTGAGACACTTGATCCCAGGACATCAATGTGTGCTTATTCGTCTTCCGCGTTGGGTTTTCTGGTGCCATTGCTCAGCGATGCATTCCTCTTTTTTGCCGATGGGTTTTGAATCGGTTTTCATTACATTACATTACATTATGTGTCATTTAGCTGACACTTTTATCCAAAGTGACTTGCAATAAGTGCATTTCAACCATAAGGATACAAACTCAACAGAACAAGAAACAACAAAGTGCAATGTCATTAAATTCGCTGCTTTACAACTTGCTATAGAGAAGAGCCATTAAGTACAATTTAAGTGCTACAATTTGTTAGTGTTTTTAGTCAAGTTACAGCTACAGCAAATCAGTATGAATGTAATGTGTACTTGTACACAATAATGTGGTCCCTTTAACGTGCAGTCTCACCTCTGCCCCGATCAGGATCAACTGTCATTACTGTGTTTCCATAGAAACATACTGCATCATTTTTCTACAGAGGATTGCTCCTAATCTTACAATTTGTGGATCGTCTCCATTAATTTGTACATACCTAGTTGTTGTTCATTATATATTTCCAGTTGTTGTTGCTGTTCTTTGTTCTAAACTAGTCCACAGGACAGCAGGGTTTACAATCCAAGATTTGGAAGTATTTTTGTTGTTAAGACTTAATCGATCTTCTCATGTCATGATGAAAGGTTTTAATGCTAGATGAGACAATTTAAGGACGAGCCACTGTGGTTGAATGTAATTTCACGATTCTGGGTTGTGAGAATGAGAGCAGGCCACAGGTCAACTATTTACCTTTAACTTACCTCATAAGTGGATTTTCCAGGGAAATAGCATTATTTTCTAGTTTCTATTTGAGCCCATATGCAAACCTAAATTTGCATCCATCTTATCCATCTATCCATGCAGGGCCGTCTGCTGGTGAAAACCGAGCGCGCCCACCTGGGGGAGAAGGTCCTGCGTGACGCGGTTCAGGTCCACAGCACCTCTCACGAGGCATGGAGTGGTCTCGGAGAGGCCCTGCAGGCTCGGGGCTCCAGCCAGGCCCCCGACTGCTTCCTGACTGCCCTGGAGCTGGAGGCCTCCTGCCCCATCCGGCCCTTCAACATCATCCCCAGGGAACTGTAAATGGGCCTTGGCGGGGGTTGTAGGTTTGGGTTAAACCGCAACAGTGAAAAGCAGTGCAAGGAGGAAAACTCCTCGGTTAAATGGAAAGTTTGACATTTCTTTTGGAAATAGGCCTGTTTCATTGTCTTGCCGAGAGCTTGATCAGAACGTTGATGCCACTGATGACTGTCTATTGAACATTAGGCTGCGCCCAGAGGACAGCTAGCTTAGCATACACCATTCTAAAAACAATGTCGTTGGTGAACTTAACTACGTAGGCAGAGATTTTGTTGCTCTTGGACATGACAGCTGTTTCTTTAAATGCTAGGCTAAGAGCAGCAGGATGTACCTTTATACATCCCTAGCAGGTATGAATGTGACAATGTACATCTCCTATGGAGCTATAGGTACAGAAGCCATAGCTCTTGTGTAATTAGTGACTAATGAGTAACACTCGTAATAATCTGAATCAATGGCTGTTTAATGATCCATCAACAGCAGATGTGTGCGGGTTACATCTTTAAGATCGTATGTTGTGTCATGTGTGGAGATGAATAGATTATGTACAGGCTGTCAGCAACACTAGTGGCTCCACTTCATCTTCATTTTAGCCTTTGATATATTTTTGATGATCTCATTGATTGATACAACTTTCATGTGCACACAAAAAAAACCAACCTGTCTTCTTCAAATGAGAGCTCGTCCATTTTCTTGCAGGGATAAACTCCTTCTGTGTGTTTTCATCATGTGCGTGTTTCCATGCAGCTTGTCTTTATATTATGTATCTTTTAACATCCCTGTGTGTTGTTATCAGTCGCTGCTCTGTTTGTCTGTAGGCTCCTGTAAGCGACTCATTCGCTCATAACTTGTGTGTTGTTTTTTTGGTCTTTTTTGTCATGTGCTCATTATGCTCACCATTATAAACAGCAACGGCTTTTAAAAATCACTGTTGGGTGCTGCGTCTTCACCTGCTCTGTCACTTGTGACTAATGGACATCACTTCCGAGTGCCTAACCACATTAATGTGAGCGGTGGGACCGGGCTGCCGGCTTATGTAATACTGCCAGCACAGTTTTCTGCCTCCTCCTCCTCCTCCTCTCTCCTCTCTCTCTCCCTCTCTCCCTCTCTCTCTCTCTCTCTCTCTCTCTCCTCCTCTGACTCTTTCTGTGTCTCGCTCTTCTCCGAAGTGCCTGATGTGATGTGATGTGGCTCGGTTGCCTAGCAGCCATCCCCTTGTTTGAGTAACTGGGGAAGCAGAGAGATATTTGGTCCATTGAACAACACACACTTGACGCATGCGCACACACAAACACACAACCGCACGCACACAAACATGCACACACAGCAAGCGGTGGATAATGCACCCGTTGTGTGGTTTTACAGGCTTGACAGTGTCTGTTTGATGTCTGCTGTTACCATGTGCGGTATGAGGCCGCTGTAATCAATGTCTCAGGGTGGTGTAAATTGATTTGTGTTATGAGGAGTCCCCCCCCCCCCCCCCCCTTCTTTATTAACGGATTCCCAGCAGGGCTACAAGCACAAATCCCTGTCTCCTTTGTCTTGTCTTAAAACTCAACACAATCGCCCACGCTGCTATCGCTCCCCCAGCAAGGAAATCCCCCCCCCCATTCTTCAATACTTTGATTCCCGCGTGGGAATTTATCGATCACTGTCGCTCTTTTCTGCCGCCCAGAAAAAAAAAAATCTATTTTTACATTTCGCTCCTCGCTCGCTGGCTCTCCCTTGTTCTGTCCTCTCCTCATTAGCGCCGCGTTTGACACCTACACAGGGGCTTCGGGAGATGAATGGTCTAATCCCTGTGGGTAACAAGTGAAATATTACAGGGTGTGCACGCACATGCACAAATACAACACACACACGCTGACAATGAGAGGCACCGTGAACACATGGTGTGGCACGTGCTTTCATACACTCACACACATACGCTGTGGTATCGACAGCTCTGGTAAAAGGAGACGGTTAAAGGCCTGAGAATCTATTCACTGGGCCTGAGTGTCACCACGCACACGCATGAAAAAAAAACAAGTGTGCACACCTGGGATCAATGATCAGACCTTATTGTCTATTGTGTGCGTCTGCGTCATCGTGATGTCAAAGCACCCGGGCGTGTCGCTCTGGTTACGCCTGAGGATCACAAGACTGTCTTTGTGTGTGTGTGTGTGTGTGTGTGTGTGTGACATGAGCATGATGGAGCAACTGATATCAAGTGTTCATGTAGACTCGCTGCAAATGTATGGTTGCCGTGTACACCAAACACGGCAGTTATCACTGTGTATCACTCTGTTTCGTTCAACTCGGTGTGAACCACGAGGAAACTTCTGGTTCTGACGAATGAAGCGCCCCCTCCGACGTGAATGAAAAAACCACTTGACTTCTCACTTGAGTTACTACCTCATTACATATTAAACACGACTCTCCATCCCAAGTATTCAATACAGAGAGATGATCATTTCAAGATTTCCCTCCGAGGCTAATTTGCGATTTGGGCGAAAATTGTATTTTCTAGAGTGAACACGATTCAAACCAATTAAAGGGCGTTTTCCATTTGTCACAGTGTTGTTTATTTTGTTTAAGAAAGCCTTTTCCCTTCAGTGACTGGAAAACTATTGGCTTATTTGCACATTTAACAACTTTGCATTCGCTGTTTTTGCAGCAGGGTGTGTGTGTGTGTGTGTGGGGGGGGTGGTATTCAGGTCACGGTGGTGTGTGTGTGCAAGGATGCCAGTCCTGCAGGGCCATATGGAGGGCACGGGTTGGGAGTTGTCATTGCAGGGCGCCAAGAAGGAAACCATAAACCATCATTGTGATGTCCAAAGAAGGCATGGGAGTCATGGATGGGTGAGGGGTGTGATGGAGGTTATGAGGATCAGATGTGGTTCCATAATCTCATTTATAAATAAAATGACTGGTACGGTAGACGTACACATAGTTCAACCCCAGAGGGCAAACGTGTTCCCGCAGAGTTCAAAGCAAAAGCTGATAAGCTTTTGAATGCTTTCAAAACCCTGTGGCTTAAAGCGAAAGAGTAAATAGCTTCTAATATATTCAGAGAAATACCTTTAAAAACAAAGCTTTGTATGTAAGTTTGACATGACTTGATCACTTCCGCGAAGCTTTTAATGAATTCATATTATAGTTGCTGTTAATCGCCTTGTTCATAGCTGCGGTGTTGCCTGAATCATTACAGGTTGTATAGCCAACTCCTGTAAGTTGTGAGCTGTCCCTGTCAAATAATACAATAAAATAAAACAATTTCTTCTCCTGCGAATGGTTACAACGAAAAATAGTTTGAGAAATATTTTTCCCCTCACACTAATTTAGCCTAAACATGAAGTTACAGACTGCTAGCTTAGCTTACTCTATCCAGAGGAAACAAAATCTGCTCACCAGCACTCCACCCTCCACAAACCCCACACGTGTCCGTTTTTGCAAGGATTAGGAAACAATTTACAACACAAGGGAGCTTGAGAGTTGCTGGTTTGGTTCCCTTTGTTCAGAGGTCAGCTGTTTCCCTGTTTGTCGAGTTTTGACGCTAAGCTGGGGAATTGGGGCAAGATGGTCACATTTTCCAGCACACAATACAGGCGTTTGCTTCGCAAGTCACTCTGACAGCCAATTTCTGAATCATTCCCACATTTTTGGACTCGGACACTCATCCACGGCGCCAGTCGAATCACACCACGAGAAACGGCCACATTCTCATCCGTCAAACACCTGATCGGCCTGCAGCACTTGGTCGAGTTCCACGCACACACCGCAGCGGTGCCAGCGCCCCTTAAACAATGGCCCCCTTGTTCGCTAACAGTTGGCTATTGCAGCTGATTAAACTTTTAAAATGCCATTTAACAGAAGCGTAATGGGGCTCCGATGCGTCCATCAACGGCCTCGGGGGGGTAAAAGGATACCTGCTCACCCTCCCGGCGTGTCACTCTGCCCACTAAACTCCTCCGCGGCTTAGTCATCGCCCCTAGTGTGGGACCTGGTGATGATGAGTGAATATGACCTGGGCTTAAAGGGGACACGAGGCAGCAGCACCTGTGAACTCTCTTTTTTTTTCTGATCTCCTCTCTGCTACCCGGAGTGCCGAAAGGTGTCCAAGTTGTACGGCGGAGGGAGGAACGGAGGGACGCGGCCTGTGGCACTGGGAGGCCATTTTAGCTCAACACAATGTCAGTGGCGGACAATGGCTTCTCTGTCTGCCTGTTTATTTGCTGACCCTTAGTTGGGACTCAGTAACTGGAAATGGCATTCGTCCCACACCGGCGTTGGATAACGCGGATTCACATTCTTTAGGAAATTCCAGCAGTCTGCCTTCGTCATCGTTCTGCGCGCAGGGTCACATTTTCTCAGCATGTTCCCATCGAGTTAGCTGTTGATTTGACGTCGTCTCTGCTCTGACTCCAGCGGGACCACTGAGTGAAAGGGTCACCTTCTGTCGTAAGCTGCCAAAAACACACATTTAATCCAGACCCCACTAATGTGCAAAACACTGCTGACCGGATCTCATTAAACCATGCCCAAAAAACAAGCTCACACTCTGAGTGCAAGCTGCCCTGACACCAGCTGTTCTTGTGACCTCTGACCTATCCAAGCTTCTTGAATCTCACTTAAACCACCTTCTAACCACACAGAAGACTACAGCAGATGAAAAGATATCGTGTGTGCGTTAGGCTTTGTGCGTTGCTGCCTTGATCATTTTTCTCCTCGCGGGGATTCTCCACTTTCATCTTTCAGCAGAGGTTTTATTTACTACTTTTTAAACATCAAAAAGCAAGTAGTAGTTCCGTGGGTGTACAGTGTGCTCAAATGTTTGCAGGAATAGAATCAGCTTGCAAGCGCGTTTTAAAAAAAGCAATAGTATCACAGATGCCCTCGTTTGTGCACATTCATCGCATCGTGCGGCTCTGTGCGTACTCTTTGAAGCAAACGTGTGTGTGTGTGTGGGGGGGGGGGGGGCTGGCTCCTGATTGACAGCGAGGGAGTGGATGCCGAGCCGTGCCTGTGGTCGAGGCGGGCTGTGGGGGACGCAGGGTGTTAAGTCGTCAGTATGAGGCATGTGTCAGAGGTCAGTGCTGGACCGTGGAGATCACTGCGATGAGAACGGAGGACGTGGAAGACTGAGATTACTTGAGGCTTGATGCCTTGACCACGGACAGAATGGCTGCTCATCACGGAGAAACACGCTCACATTCTCATCTCCCTCATTGCCTCTCCCTCCCAAGTAGTATAAACGAGTGCCCGGCCCCTCCGGGGGCCTCATGCAAAGCCTCCGTTAATAAGATTGTCTTCCTCTCTGGGTGGAAGTGTGCGGTTCCTTTGTCTCCAGAATAATGACACGGGGAAGAAGAGCCCCGGCTCTTGAACTTCCCCAAAGCTCTTAAGTGTTTGCGGCTGCAGCGAAACCGAGTGGTGGGGATTAGATTCAGGCCAAGTAGATGTGCCCTCGATAACGTCCCCGCTGCACTGCACGACCGCCGTCCCAAACAAAAGCAGCGCAGAAGTCGATACGCGGAGAGAGGAGCCAATGTTTTATGCAAATGTCCGTCCTGCTCAAGCGCCCTCGGGCAAAACACCACAACACCACTCAACTGGAGTGTTTACCCAAGGTGATTTTGAGTTCAAACATGCGTCCAAATCCAATGTCTCCAGCAACATCGCCACGGACGTGGCCTTGGTCGCCTCTTCTTCGTTGTGTGAGCTGAAAGCGATGGCAGCTTTCAGTGTCTGCTGTTTGGTGCTGGACAAGCTTAAGAAGTTGGTCATATTTTTATCCAGAATATGGGTGGGCAGAACGGATGAAAATTGCCCACCCTCCCTCAGCAGCTGTCTCATTGGTCGTGGCGTGAAATTCGGCTGCTCTGTGGAGACTATGGATATATGGCAGTGCTGAAAAAGAGCATGCATGCTCAGCAGAAATCCCTCTGGCAGTGAATGAATGATAAACATTGCTCAGGATCCCACCCCCAACAAATCTGCAATGGCTTCGTGTCATTTCTTAAATTCACCGCCTCGCTGTTCAAAGCGTCTTTCCTATCGCCGCTGCTCTCTTCTGTCCCGCCATCGCTGTCCGCATGTGTTTGCCAAAAGTAAAGGAAGAGTCGGTGGCGATAAGAATAGATGTTTTATTGTGTGGCTCTGCCTTGGCCCCTAATTCTAAATGTGTTATCTGAGCGTGCAGCATGCCACACTAAGCTATGTGCATGTGACGCATGGCTGGGCAGCATTCCCCCTCCCGAGTGCATCGCAGGGCTGAGATAGCTTAGCAAGGCAAAGCAGCACATCTGCCGACGGAGATGGGAGAGGGGAGACATGAAGGGGGAGCGCAGTACCGGGAACATGAAGTTAAGTGGAATGAAGTACCCTTTGTAGCAGATAAGATCATTCTGCTTCCCTGGCCGGCGTCACTAAAGCGATTTGAGCACAACGAATGCGGCTCATTTTGTTGTTGTGTCATACAGATAAACATCGGTCCGTGTAATAAGAGACTACGATATTGCTTTCTTTATGTACGTCTTTCTTTTAATTTTAAGAAGGAGGCAGGGTCACCGTGTGTGCGATCAGGATGGTGGTGGCATCCAGGCTTTGTGGCGTTCTCCACACTAGAGGACGTTAGCGGAAGAAGAGGCTAAATGACGGGTCTATGGCCTCCGTGTTGAGACGGTCACCCAACTTCCAGCAAGGTTCGTAGGCCCCTGGACCCGGGGTCTTCTGTGGAATCAACGCCAGATTACACACACAACATCTCCATGCCGTCCATTTGAAATACCACAACAAGCCAGACCAGAAACCAAAAGAGCCCAAAGAGAAACATTCTATTTTCTTCACTTCACGTTCACGTAATGAAATGTTCAATCCAATGTTAAGTAATTCACAGAGCGTGTGCTGTACATGTCTGTGTGAGGCATGTTTTCTCTTCTATTATGTAACTCATTGGGTAATGTTTTGTTCGACTCCCAGGATCTGATAAAATGCAAAATTAGCGCTTTAAACTTTAAACCACAGTGACGTCATTACTGAATCAAATAAAACAAAACACTTTTTACTCGCTTCCCAACCATTTTACTGCCACAATGCAGCTGGGAGGTTATAAAACAGATCGAAAAAGTATAAATTCACCGTATAACATTACGACGGGCAGCCGTAAATGAGAAGGGCCGGACTCACAGAGTGAACACAGTGGAGCCGCGGCAGGTTGGATTTGAAGCAGGAAGTGATGCCTTTTCCTGGTCTTGTCTGTGGATTATAGTGGCACGGCGAAGGTCCCTCCCTCTAAAGGGGCAGAGATAGGAGCTATTATTGATTGACAGATTCATTGATTGTCAGATTGTGTGATCAAGCCTCATTATGCTGTAGACCCAGGCTGGCATGTAAGCATTAGCATGTACTCACGTAGGCGGCGCTCTGTAGTTGTTGCTCTTTCTTCAATTATCTTTTTGAAAATGTCATAAAGCAGCAGCGTGCAGCCAGGGTTTTGGTTGTTGAACGGAGCTTTTGTTAAAGCAACAACTTAAAACCAACTTCATCGAACGTTGAGATTGCTTTAACCTCAGTGTGCTGCAGATCAACCTGGTCTTGTGTTGTTGGCCTTGAGCATAAGCATAAGGCTTGTTATTTTTCAGTGTTATCTCCATTGAAAACTGTTGCCCCTGACTTTAGTAGTTGCTATTAACATAGTCAGGAATACACGGACAAACAGTAAGCACAACTCATTGATTTTATTCTGGATTAGGTCCAATTCCCTTTGAACACTGTGTTGTTTTTCCAGAGGAGAACATGGACCTTAATTAAGCACAAATCAATGTAAGGACTGTTTGTTCATGTTTATGAGGTGCTTATATATTTAAGTATATTATCCTGAGGGAGACCAACGGAAATAGGTTTATTATTTTATGACTGAGTACAGGGTTCAATCAGAACACGCAAGTAGTACACCTATTGTACATCGTGCCCTCTAACAGCTCAAAAGCAACCTATGAACCTATGAAGCTAATATAAATCTCAGGCAGTCATACACATGTTGGCACATCATTCATCTTGAAGGGCTTTGCCCATGTGATCTGTGTTTAAGAGTTGCTCTCTGTCGAACGTCTCTCTCCTTGCCTTTCACTTCCCCTTCCCTCCTACCCACTAACACACATACTGGTCATCACCAGCGGCTGCCATGCAGAAATAGCCTCACCCCTCCTGCCTCAGACATAAAACTGTCTCCCCGTCCCTGAACACAGTGCCAGTCTCTTATTTTCAGCGGCTGTCTAGTTCTGACAGGAGGAGGCGGGAAGGTGTCTTTTCTCTCTCTGCTCCTCGGAGGGATGGCTGCTACCGTTACGTGCCATTTGATCGCCACGGTCGCCAGTTCCCTCGGTCCTCGGGCGAACTGGCCTGCTGCGCTTTGCTTATGCTCCCGGAGGTGCTAATGCAGGTGTATTTTACAGGATGGGAAAACTGTGTGTGTGTCTGTTAGAAGCCAAAGCACCTGTCCTACTTTCCCAATGTGGCGCGCAGCGCGTTGGAAGCCTTCCCCTGTGCGGCAGCGGAGCAGAGGTAACCGGCACATACTGTGAGTGTCTGTGAAACTTGAAAACTTTGACCTGTTTTTCATTGGTGTATAGTAAGACACTGCAACACGGCCCCTCTGATATGAGCTGCATTCCTTTCTTTAAATAATATGAGGCAATTGATCCAAGGATTGTTATTATAATAAATGTTTCACTCAAAAATAAAAATGATAACCTCATGGTGGTGGAAAAGTCAAAAGGATCCATCCTCTGGAAGCCATGTTTCAAAGTTTTGTGGCGATCCAGCCAATCGTTCAGTCTGAATTTGGTCGGCCAAAAGTTTCTATAGTGTTGGAAATAGAAACGACCATACAGCAGATGTTTAGATAGGCGTGTTTTCAGGCAGTACAGTTAGGTTAGAATCCCTTCTGTGCAACAGCAATAAGAAAGGGCGCATTTATTTACACAAAGATGGCTGGGATTCTGACTTTAATTCAAACAGGCATGAATCATAGAGGGAGGATTTGTTCCTTCCGAGAAGCGCGCGCGGTCGATATTGCAAAAAAAGCAAACCTCGTAAATCTAGGACGCACGGTGGCCCGGGGATGGAAAATTAAGTCACATCAGAGTTTCCCTGTTGACTTTCCCAAACATATTCAGCTCAGTGGAGATTTTTGGGATGTGTGAAAATCCTATTATTGCTGGGCTAAGAGGCAAGGCCGGATATCTGACATGATAGAATTCTTCTGGTTCGCTCTACGAACCGTTGGATCCATTTGCAGCATTTTGATCCCCGAACGTCGGACTGCCCACGCCAGGTCAGCCGTCCAGCTGTGGGGAGACTTGTGGAATTTGTGTAGGTGCTTAACCTTTGACAATACAATTGTCTTGGAGTAGCTGTGACACCACTAACAGTAGAAAAAACTGCTTCCAACTCCGAGGTAACAACACCTCCGGGATTTCTTAGCGCCTTTCCTTCTCTGTCAACACTCAGCAGCTGCCAGCACGGCTCAAATATCCATCAGCTACCGGCGTGGACACAGCGGCTGCATCGCTGCAATTTGAACCAAAGCTGAAAAGTCAGCTAGTGCAGTGGCATAACAGGCCTTGGAATCGGGCAAATGATACAATCAGACAGTCCGCGGGATCGCCTTTCTTTGACCCTCGTGGTTGTCATAACTAGCTCGTGTTCAGCACCACACACATTTGGGTCGCAGCTAGTAACTAGAACCTATTGAAAGTGTACTGTAATGAAGCCGTATTGTGGGCCTATGGAAAGACTGAACGGCGATAATAACTGGTCTCGGTGAGGAGATACTTACAGGAGGAAAGCTGATCCGCTGCACGGTCGACCGAAACACCCCATGCCTGCAAGAAGAGGAGAGAAGTGAGAGGAGGGGGGGAGGTTGGACAATGAAAAAAGTGAGAAGAGAAGCAAAAGGCCATGCATGATCAGAGGCAGAGAGGATGAGAGAGCGGGTTGGTGATTGCTTCCCCATCTTTGTTTGCGCAGGCAGATGACAGAGGGAAGGCGAAGTAGTAGGTGACGGATTCAGCGATCAAGGGATGATTCATTGGTCGTCTGCCTCGCTGTGATCGGAGAGTTAAAGAGGCTGTTTGTCGAAAGCTTACTTGCAGGGAATCTTCTCCACCAGTTTTGCTGTTAGGTTGTAGTCACACGGTGAAGTGTTTAGATGCTGGAACAGGGAATAAAGATAAAGAGGTGTTTAAATAGCTATCGGCTACACGTACATTTTGAAGATGTGATGATGTGTTGTTGAAGTAAAAACACACTTAGCCAAGAATCAAAGTGAATCATGATGGCGTCGTGTTAACACTGCATGTGGATAATAACTCCACTCAACAATAAAGACTGCACCCTTTTGTGGGGAAGTTATGTCACCAAAAACAAGCAACAATAACATACAAACGGGGAAAATGTTGAACTTGGGGCCTAAAGTTATGGGCTTTACAAATTTTATGATTTCTCCATCTTGTATTTCAGTTTTAAGGAATAGTTATTATTAATTATATAAAGAAAACAGGAGTAATGGTTATGAAAATGTTTTCCGTTGTCATTTTATCGGTACAAAACAAAATGAACATTGTTGGCAGTTGCAATGGCGAAAACAAATGTTATTGGCAGCGCAGAAGCTCCAGAGAAGCACCGTCGCTAGTTAGGTAGCTCATGCTACTCGATAACGACAGGAAGTGAGGCGGAGGAACTGCTGCCTGCTGATCGACCGTTGTTGCATTGAACTATGGTAGCAGATAGCAAGCAAGCTAACTAGCCAACAGTCCAGTGGTTCGGTAGCTCATTCCTTTATTTCAACCTTGCAACATGAGGAAGAGGGACCATTATTCCAGGCAGCGCCATGGCCGCCTCACTCCCGGGATCAAAGAGAGGGACAAGCTACCTACCGAGCTAACTAGCCAGCCATCCGTCTCAGAAGAGTGTGGATTAAACATGAATTGCTAATTATGCGTAATTCCTAAAATGTTTTTACATGTGGTCAATTGCATATGCCAACAAGAGGACATCTCTGAACCCCACCTTGTCCCTGACGCCCAGGGTGACGATATTGGGTCTTGGACAGTTTTTGAAAGAGTAGGAGGCCTGGTGCATTAGGACGTCCTGTGTGGAGTCGGTGTGGTTGTACGCCCCGGGGAGAAGCAGATCCCCCTTACGTACGCCCAGAATGCGGGCTTTTCTACCCACACCTTTAAAGCCGTAGGTCTTCCTCACCGGGTTCAGTTCAGCTTCTTCAATGAAGTCCCGTATGTGATAGACACCTGGGATTGGTGTGTCCTGGTAGAAGGTGAGAGGAGAGGAGTTAACGGAATGCGTATAGTACACATATAGTACTTTTCTAAATAATCAAATACACTATATAAGACAGACATAACATAACAAAACAAAAAAGGCAGACAAAGGATCAAATAAAGCAGTTTAAATACATTTTTAGTGTGGAATGAGTCATGTAGTGGTGGGTGAGGCACATAGTTATTGCATAGATATAGTGTAGATATACAGCAAACCAGCTGTAATTTCAGTTAATTCACATGGCATTTTGTTTGCTGAGCTGAGTAGCCTGAGAGCTGGGATCACATTTAGATACACTTATTTTTAATCAGGTCTTGTATGCATTATTACCACAAATGCACTGCGGGCCACCTAGGGACTGTATTCACTGTAGTGTAAATGTTTCAATTTATTTCTGGCAGACAGGGCACTTTGGCGACAGACAATGGGATAGTGCTATGCAATAAAATGCATTAACTGAAAGTCTACTACGCGCACACACAGACACACACAATGAAACAAATGAGCCAGTGTGTCCTCAGACACCACCTACTTTCAGTGTTCCCTGCCACCAGCTCCCCCGGCCACACACGTCCACCTTGTCATCGCCCTGCAGATAATAACAGGATACAAGCAAAAAAACACTCTAGCTTGTATCTTCTACAATGCCATTGCCATGACAACAATGTGTTGATGCATCTCCATATGTTTCATCCGGTTCCTCACCGGTTCAGCGTGTCCTTGTCAGGCACACAGAGAGGCTTTACGGAGCATTACCTTATCTGTTCTATCCCTGGAAATGTTACCGACGTTAGAGACGGCCTTGTTTTTCCTGGTGGCCCCGTCCTGCGCCGTACTCATTGTTGCTCGCTATCTAATCCACTGGAGATCCAGTGACACCTGACCACCACTAAAACTGCAACTGTTACTATAGCAGCCACTGCGCCGTTGATCAATTTTTCAACAAGCTTGCCTGGTGGAGGGCTAAATTTAGACCTGCCGACCAGTTTGACTCAAAGTAAGACACAATAGCAAAGCCACCATCAGCGTGATCACAACACATCCTACAGTTAGTCCTTGTTATCATTGTGGAAGGAAACTCTTGATTGGAATACATAAACACAGCCATTAAAGTGCGAATTAGAATACATGCCAGTTCTACTAAATATCTGATAGGGGCCAGGCTGTTTACAAGCACTAGTTTCCAAACTGGGTACACCCAATGTCCAGTAAGAGGAGGAAACGACAATGCAACTTTTTCAATCCGCGGTGAAAGAGCGCACGAGGCAAACGAATGTGATGAAAAACTCGAAGCCCGGTTTGGGACATCTGGAAGGATTCAGCCAAACGACTTCTCTCGCTCTGGTAGATTTATTTGTCAGATCACAGGTCAAGTATCAGCGCTGCGTTTGCAAAGGCAGGAGCAGTTCTGTCGGCCCGCAGGCCGGAAGAACAACTGACTAACATCAGGAAGAACATTACATTTTGTATTTCTTGTTAGATATAAAAGAAAAGATTTCTATTGGCCATAAACTGGCGTCGAGGAGGAGCAGGTCCTCTCGCCGCACCACAAGATCCAATCACATGCAATGTGTGGTCTCCTAACATTAATGTAAACATAAGGAACAAAGCGTGAGTGTTGTGTGGTGCTTGGTGTGTCTCTAAATCTGGACCCTTATCAGCCGCGTCTGCCTGGTTCGCACTTTCTGCTTTTCCTCTGACCTTGCACTCCTCAAGACAGTGACTCCCTAAATGAGCACTAAGAAAAAGCTTTTGATTATCAGCTTCTACCAATTAAGAGAGCGCATTGCTACCACCGGAAGAAAGACTACTCTCATCCGGGGTTAGGGTCTGTAACTAGTGTAGCATTTGAGCATGGTGGAGTAAGAAACGTCATGTCATAGTCAGCAGGGCCTTTAAGACAGCAGCGTGTCTGTACCCTCATAACTGTGTGCGTCATGTTAGCCGAGAGAAAATTGTCTGCTCTCAAAATGTCTACACGACCTCCTGGGGACTCGTGGGGCAAAACTATATGTCCTCGGTAAAAGAACATGATGGTCCGTATCCAAGGGCGGTTCCCGGCACTCGGATGTGGACAGAGTCCATGTTTGCCTTCCAACTATATATTCCCGCTCCGAGGAAGGAAACCGTTGATTAGTCTTGAACCATGTGTCACACCTCCTGTGGCGTACATGGGCTGGAGCTTTATGTCCACAAGAACAGCAGAAGGAAAGATGGTCACTGAAAGAAGCCACACTAAAGAATCACACACAGGCTCCATGGACGACATGGTCAGATTAAGCAAAGACTTGTTGCAGGGCTTGTCAAGGAAGTCAAATGTGTCCGGAGAGTACAAGAGGAGTTACACGGTTTCAACACCCGATCTACGTTGACTTGTCTATTTGGACAACGCGTGAGCGCAGAGGACAGCTGAGACTGGTGTAACATGTACGGTGCAATTAACGGCATTTTACAGGTTGCCTTCAGCTAGACAGTTTCTCTTCTGAAGCCCTGCGAATAACTGCATTTGACAAGGTGATAAACCAACTCAATTTGCACCTGAAGTTGCAGTTTATCTCTTTTGCAACCAAAGCCGTTCTTGTGCAGTCTGAAAAGGAATGTTGCACCTTTTAGACACAAAAATCAAATCTCGGGTACTTAGTGAATTACCTCTCTGCGTCATAGTTTATTTTGGTGTACAGGCGGTTGCTTAAGTGTATTTGCAATGTGTTAAAAATTGAAGTGGAGCCACTGAATATGCACGACTGAGCAAGCCACAAACAAATGGAGCACTTAGTATTCCCAGCTGACAATCAAAAATCACACAACTGTACAGGAATCTCAGTTTAAACGTTAAGAAAATTCAAGTCCGACTAAAAGCAGCAAACAAAGTGCACACAAGAAGCACCACTGAGGTCCACAATAGAGCTTTATTTCATCATCAAAACAAACTTAGTATCTCTGCAAGCTACTGTAACAAACTCAAATCAGAAAACACAAAAAAGAAGAATCAAACAGGTACACCTCTATTTACACCATGGTTTCTGATGTACGCTCAATCACATTCACCTTGTGATTGGGGGCAAATGCCAAGTAAGACATGAGGCAGACAGCTTCTACATGGTGCTGCATTAACAGTAGCAGACAACACACGGCCAATTCAGTCAGTATGGGAGCCGGACCGTACAAGGCTTATCCAATGTCGAGTACCATTGTGTGCACTTGAAATAGAAGCCTTTGATCCCTCTCAGTGCTTTTATTTTAATGACAATACAGATTTGATATGAGCTTATCTGAACATTAAGAGGCATTGGCTGATGCTCCTCAGTGCTTTTGGAAATTAACAGGGGACAATTTAAATCAGTAAACATTTCATTTGTAGTCTAGGCAAGAAAAAAAAAAAAAAAAAGAAAAAAAAAAAAAAGATCCTATCAAAAATGGAGCATCCTGTCCTCAATACAAAAATGGGAATTATTACAGGGTATACAAACTCAAGGATCCATAACTGAGAAAAAGACAATTTTCAAAACCAGGTAGATTGCAATTTTTATTGGAAAACAAAAATGTACAACTTGGAATGGATTATTTGAGGCATGACCAGAGGCCATAAAAAAAAAAAAAAAAAAAAAAAAAGTAAAAGTAGTGAGTAAAACATTAAAAAGCATGTAAGATTAGTTGTTTTCTGGTATATAGAACAGCAGATACAAAAAGAGTTTGTACGAGTACCTAGGAGATACACCCGTGTCATTTTTTTTGCAGTAGTGCAATGCTGAGAGATTTCCATATATACTTTGTCCGTAGTCCATGCAGAGTTTAAACTCCTCTACATTGTTTCCATGCCAACAGTGTTGCCAAGAGACAATTAGCTGACAGGTTTCCAATGTCGCCATGCGTGGAGGGGCCCCGAGCACACAAGACGGGAAGATTCGAAGTTCTTCGGCTCCCAGGGGCCTCCACAGGCATCTGGTTGTATGACCATTCAGTCACTCCAAAACACCATGACAGCAAAAGAAAGGGACATGGGACAAGAGCCTATGCAGTTTACATGCAGTTCCTTTGGACAGCAGAGGGGGCAGGGACGAAAGGGGGCTATTAAGATTTTACAGATAAATTACACAAAGAAAAAAAGGCAAATTATTTATATACGAAATCTGTACAAGGCCTTCACTTCGCCGTCATCATTTGTACGAACTCTGCGGGGGCGAGAAAAGAAAAGTTGCAACTCAGTTTCCGGCAAGTGACTCCAACTCAAAATATGCAGCAATCTCACATCCACCAACCTTCATAGTTGACTTGTCCATCTCCGTCAATGTCTGCTTCTCTGATCATCTCGTCCACTTCTTCATCAGTCAGCTTCTCTCCAAGGTTTGTCATCACATGGCGCAGCTCAGCAGCACTGATGTAGCCATTGCCATCCTGAAAAACAGAAAAACCATCATAAAAAAAAGACCCAAGACCCAAGGATTTTTCCACAGCTGTGCGCTTGAAAGTTTGACGGCTTTTACCTTATCAAAGACGCGGAATGCTTCTCTGATCTCCTCCTCGCTGTCTGTGTCCTTCATCTTCCTAGCCATCATAGTGAGGAACTCTGGGAAGTCTATCGTTCCATTTCCTTTCAAACAAAAGACAAAAACAATCTTTGATGAGGGATTTCCAGTGATACAAAGCAGTAGGTGGGTGGTCAGCAAGTTATTTTTATAAAGACCGATTAGGTTCTTACCATCAGCATCCACTTCGTTGATCATGTCCTGCAGCTCTGCCTCTGTGGGGTTCTGGCCCAGAGAGCGCATGACTGTTCCCAGCTCTTTAGTGGTGATGGTGCCATCGCCATCCTTGTCAAAGAGCGAAAATGCCTCCTTGAACTCTGTTTTTAAAAATAAAGTAAAGGAGCGTCTTCAGTTTGGCAGGTGTTTTACCAACAGCTACATATAGTGGCATAACTGGTGATATACAAACAAAACACAAAACTACGCATGTGCCTAAATGTGGCTGTATAATGAGCCTTTTCCTGAAGTCTATGACTGACAGGTCTCAAACCCTGAACTGGCCAAAGACTGAAAACGGTATTACATAACTTGTTTCAGTTATAAACAAGCTACAACATGCCGAGTGCTTCCATTTTGAGTTCCAACTGCAGTAGTTTTTTGCTAAACGAGGGCAGCGACTGAGACGGCACAGTCGGGCTACATCAGCAGCAAATTACATTCTGAGTGGTTTGGTGGAGCTGCGAAGGACAAGCAGCCATGACACCCATAAAGACTGATTAGGTGTCGAGTCATACGGCAGCTCATCAAGATCATAAAACCAGCCCTACCACTGGGTAAAACGCACTGGGCAACACCCTTTTTGTTATGAGGAAAAGCTTGTTCTACTGCGGGAAATGTCATGGGTGGGTGGGGGGGGGAGGTTGCTAAATCCTTTGATATGGGCCACGAAAATGCCAAAATCTGCAGTTGCGAATGGCACATCAAATTACTGTAAATTACCCAAAGTCAGCAGAAAATGTTGGTCAGGTGATGCTGTTCATACAAACTGACAGTCAGCGAAACGGCGAGGAACTAAAAGCGGAGGCCATGTAATACACAGAGTGTACGATCAGCACATTGTGAAACCTGAGACCAAAGCGGAAGCAGGGAGATATAATCAGGGAACTTGCTACAACTGTGCCACATTTTATACATGCACTGCATTCATTACAGCAAGTGTCTCGGACCGCATACTGGCTGCAATGCCGCGACACGCTGCTCCTGCATGATTTAGATTACGGCATCTAGCTATCATCTCATAATCAGTGTGCCAAGTCAGAATTCCCATTCCATCGAATGAAAAACACACCCAGGGCAAAGGACACATCATGAACGGCATATATACAGGCCACCGCCAACACCTCAATAGAATACACAGTCTTTCCAGATTACATCATATTTTACATGGTAACCATGAAAATGCAAAGTTTTCCATGAGGGAGTCCTTCTGCACTCGAGAGCCAGCAAGCAACAGCCGTTTCATTCATTCCTGTTTTATGACCAGCAGGCTGCCCCGTGGAACGCCTTAAAAGGAAGAAGTATAAATCCACTGCAGGGGATGCAAGGATCCATAACGCAGGCCCCTCTGCAGGAGGAGAGATGCATGTCTTACCAGCAATCTGCTCTTCTGTAAGCTGATCAGCCTGTAAGGAAAAAAAGAAAAGGCATTAATATTACGAATTAGCTTCTGCATCTTAGAAAAAACCTGGCTTTAAAGTTAGGGCCGCCCAGGCGTGTACCGATGTCGCAAACACATCGTTGTGCGGATTTTATAATGGAAAAATAAGGAACTACAACTGAGAAAAATAGGCGTTTTCCTTGAGGTGCAAACATTCCGGCTCCTTAAATTTGGAGGGGCAAAAGTCGCTGTGTCCAATACACGTTAGATCAAAAATACTGACATATGAATGTTCGATGACTTCATCACCGACGATTACGGTTTGGGCGGTAAACGTTAGCTAGGGCGCGCTAAAGTTAGCCTGCTCTGCTTTTACACCGGCTCACAGGGACAGACCGTAAAAACACCAACGACGTTGTACGCTTCAGTTCAAAACAACTGACTAATTCAACAGCCGTCGCAAGCGAGGCTGCTGTCTTCAAATAGTTTCTATAAAACAGCGGTTTTAACATTAGGAGGGCTAAACATTTGACATCGCACATGAATGTTCGGCGCACGTCACAATTTAGCGACGCCAACGCAAGAAAAGAGCTGGCGTTGTACGGGTACGTAACTAACGCGATACACCCTGGATGCCTTCAGGTGGGACTGCGTTAAAAGCTTTGACCACTAACTTAAGACTAAAGCATCTTTAGCCCGAGTTAGCCTTGTCTAAAAGCTAGTATTTACTAGCCACTAGCAAGCTGTCATTTATTCTGCCAGCACTGCGGTAGGCCAAATGCATTCAGTTCACCCACTGGTGGCGTTACCTTCTATCGACACTCATTTCGCACATAAAAAAAAAACTACTCCGGGACAGTAAAGTAATTCAAGAAATTGTGAATTGTTTTTTTCTTACCATTTCGATTTAGATGCAACGGCTGGTTCAAGAGAAAATCCGTTTCAAACCAAAGCCAACACGACGCCTGAGCGGACTGACAATCTGTATGAACACAGTGAGGAAGAGGCGACCGGGCTCGCCTTTAACGGCTGTCCTATAACTCCTCCTCTCCACAATATCACTCCGCCAGCTCCGCTTTTCCTCCTGTATAAAATTAACCAAAAACGCCTTTGAATGAATTGATCGCCACAAAATAAAAATCAAGACACGTTTTTCCAGACGCACTTGTGGCCGCTGCGAATGTTTTGACGTCGACCTTTCAGTTTGAGTTGTGTATTGCTGTGGGTCTACTTAGCGGAGTATGAATACTTTCTGCTACTCTGTGATGGGGCACAAGACGTAGCAGAAAGAAATGGCGCTCTCTGATTGGTGTGTTTGTACCTGCAATGCGTCACTCCCGTGGTCTGCGCTGCCGCTGCATGTTGTCCATAGTCATCCCAGTCAGCGCCACAGGCTCCGCAGACAAGCTTGTTGCACAGTGTGTATACATATGGGCATCATCTTTAGGGAGACCCAGTTAGCTAGTTTAAGTTATTAGCAACAAATAGCACATTTTGTTACTTGTAATTGATATATTAGTGACCCCATGTTTACATTTCCTGTTGTTTCAGTTTTCTGTCTTTTGATTACATTACTTGTGTTTTTTATCAGCATGCTTATATGTCTTTCCTAAAATTGCTGTTTCAGGTCCCTGCAGAATGTTAAATGTTGACTTTTCCTCCTAGTCTTCCTCGCTTTAAAATGTGCCCGTTGAGATGCAGTGTCAGGGCTCTGGCCTAATAGTTTGTAATAAGGAGCAGTTGGTGCATTCATCATATGTGACGGTGTCCGTGGCGGGCGTTAAGGTCAGATGACTGTGAGTTCTCGGGTCTAATTATGCTGCTGCTGGTGTGGACGGGAGAGCCTGATGGCCTCCAGTTGCTGCGGCGATCTCCCGGCGACCAACTGTCTCCCCTGATCCCAGGGGAGATGCTGATGAGGAGAAGGTTGCAAGAGGGCGGACAGGGATGTGCAAGAAAAAGGACTTGAAGAAACACTCGAAGAGAATGCAATAGAATAGAAATCTTTATCCCCCCCCCCCCCTTCGTTCCTTTCTTCCCAAATTCCACTGCCTCCCTTATTATCAGACTCGGGTGTCACGCTGCGAAGTAGAGAGCCGGGATTGTGAGGAGCTTCACATCTCACACGAAAGAAATGAGGATGCAAAGTGGCTCGCAACTTCCATCTGGGCTGTTGCAGAGGTGACGCTGCCTGTGCCATGTGATCTGCTCAGCAGCATTAGAATTCACCCAGCCCCCCCCCCCCCCCACCCCCCGTCCCCCACCCGCCCTCCTCCATCCTAATCTGGAGCACATTGGATTCTTTTCAATGTGAATGTTAAATCTGTTTTTCTGCGATGGGGTTTTTGTCTCAGCGTCGATTATGCAATGCCAAAGGTGGCGGCACAAAGGCCTTGTCACAAGTAACCCGATTAACTGAAGCATGTGTCAAGGGGGGACATTTTGAGGTGTGTTAATTTGCTTTTTGGAGTAATCTTGTCCCATTGTAAAACCAAGTCTCCAAGAGCACCTAAATGCGTTTCTTTCCGGTGTTTTTAAATGTTTCGGGTAACTGCCATAAGGCTTCTGGGCCAAATTGCTCCAATAAAACTGTTGACGAGAGACAATGGTTCACTGTTGGGCCGTAAATAATTCTAAATCAGAGTGCACTTTTTTTCCACCATCCATCCACTTTGCCCAATCGGCTGTCTGGTTGGTTGATGACAAGCCCTTCAGCGACCCCCGGCTCCCCGATGACCTCCTCCAGGGTCAAAGGTGATTGCAGGTAGGAGGTTAACACGGGTAGGGAATATTGGAGCTCAGTAGAGGCGACTTAATGGTCTGTAATAACCTGAAACCTGAATCTCCAGGACTCCGTAAGTCAGTCAGTCAACACGGAGCACAGTACAGTATGTGTTACAGTGTTTTGTTTTTGCATTATGGATGTTTGGTGTCGTGTTATCTCATTATTAATTTTGTTTTTCTCACTCAGATGGAACAATGTGCGCGCGAGCACATGCACTCACCCCTTCTTTATCAGCTCTGTGAATGCGTAACTACTCGACATAAACGGGTCCTTATCGGACCAACGGCCCGACCCCAGAGCGTTCTTTGTAAGAAGGGCTGCTGTTTTTTTCCGTACAGGGGTGGAGGGTTCAAAGGTCAACATGGTTCAGCAGAGGGAATGAAGTCAACCTTCCGTCCTCATTAACGTCTACTCCCAATGGCCTGTAACATCACTCCCCGCGATAGCAGCTTCGATTGTTCCCTTTTCGCGGGAAAAACAGAACAAAACCCTCCCGCACAGTTCAAATGTTGGCAGTTGGGAGGGGAGGAGGGTGGGGGTAGACGCGATGGCAGAAAAGTCCAAACAGCGCGTGGCGGGGCATCGCATGGCGGGGTACGGCACAAATCTTGCTTAACTGGTGTGTTGGGAAGACTTTTTTTTAAATGGACGGGCCGCCGGCGACAAATATGAGAAGATGTTTACCGCGGTGTAACTGAAAGACGCGGACGCCATCACTAATGTATGAGGGCTTTGTAATGCACCTGCTGGTCCCCGGCCAGGCGAGTGGATCGCCTTTCATAGGACAGGACGGAGGGTTGCTCGTGTGCCACGGACGGCGAGGCCAGGTGTGCGAGGGACAGGAGGCCTCCGCGTGTGTGCTTTTGTGTGCGTGAGGTTAGCCTGAGGGACCACTTTGCGAATGCGTCCACATAATCTGCACTGCTGGTAAGCAGAACAAGGGTAAACCTGTTCATGTGCACACATTCATTTTTTTTATGACCTAAGGGCCGCATGTGACCAGCGTCAGAGAGGAATTCACGATTATCGCCTCCCGGCGTGCACCGGCCAAAGGTCTGCGGTAAAGTTGACGGCCTGGTGCAAACACTCCTAGTGCCGTCGAAAAAGCCCCCCCCCCCCCCCCCTGAGCCAAGCCCATCCTGGCCTACCTGTGACTGAGAGAACGACATGTTTTGCCAAAATTACATCGTGAGGCAGAAATGATTAATGGCCTCAAATCGGATAAGATGATTTGGACGGGCCCCGCTATTCGGTGTCCACCGGGACCAGATCCCCCATCTCCAGAAACATGCACGCCAGTGGTTTTATACGAGGGGATCTAAGGGACAAAACCACTTACTGGCTAATAGAATCACCCCCCCCGCCCCCTTCTCAGTCTGCCTCCAGGTTGTCTGCTGCAATCGGCGTGGAGCTGGAGCTCAAACGCCGCAGCAGTGCAACAGTGCTCCGTGGAACATTCCAGAAGTGTGGCCCCTGGGCAGGCGAAGGCATTTGATCCGTATCTCAAACAGGTGTCTCTGTGCTTGCCACGGGGTTCTTTTTTTGTTTCTTCTTCCGCAAGTCCAGTTTTTATTCTGGTATGATCTCAGTTTTCACACACTTGTCCTGCAAATCCTGCGTAAAAATGAAACCGGTGGAAGCGAGAAGTCCCGCAAAGGGCAACGTAAGGGCCACTTTACTGCTGTAGTGCGTAAACCGCAATAAGGAAGTGGCCCTGTCCTTGTGTTACAATGCCCTGTCCTTGACCCCCCCCCCCGCCTGCAGTAGCGTAGGCCAGGTCTGTCTCTCTGCAGTGGCAGCAACCTGCAGAAGTTGTCTCGCTCCACGTCCCCGTCCCCCCCCCTCACATGATGATCTCATTCTGCGAGGGGGGGGGCAAGCAGGCGCTACCGCACGCCGTGGCTACTTCCAGACGAAGGCTGCAGAGCAGGTGTCTGGTCGTCTGTGCGTGGGACAGTGTGTGTGTGTGTGTGTGTGTGCGCGCGTGTGTGTGTGTGATCAGGGATGTGAGGTTGCTGCGTTTCTGCTTTAACTCCTCCAACAAACAAATGGGACTGATCTGGCCCGTGTTTGGGGGCTCAAGTGGGACACCTGGTGGCTGCACAAGAAACAGCAGCGATCTTTCGAATGAGATACTTAAAATGATGCTTAAATGTTAACATATCAATGAAGATATGTAGTATTTGTATAGTAACGTCAACTTTGTAAAAGTTTAGTCACATTGTTAAAGTTCAGACACTCACATCGGGTGATACTTATTTTCCCAGTAAACAATCTTTTACGCTGAAAACAGTGATCATAGAAGATGTCGGAGCATTTTTATAGGTGATGGGGTTTTTCCACAGTGGGATCATTACATTCATTGAGTACTGTGACTTCATCCAGCACTGATTGGATAGAAGATTATATAGTCAATGATGAAATCAACACTGCCTCCCCTGGCCACAAAAAAACACGATTAAGTTTTGACATTTGAAAATAGCACGTCACATGAAGATATATTGAGGCTAGTGGGGAAGATGATATCTTCAGAAGTCAGGGCGAGCTGCGGAGACGGTCCTTAAAGAGGCAGAGTTGGACCTTCCTGTTAAATGCCCCCACCCCACCCCCACTGTTAAAGAGAAACGTTGCTACATCCTAACATCTTGGATGTCAGGATGTAGCCTAAAATAACATCCCCACAGCACAGCGTTGCCGAGGAACCATCTTCAATGATTTACATTAAGAATATCTTTTGGGGGCTTATCATGAGTGATACAAACTTGGATGAATTCCTGCACATTTTGTACTAAAACTATCACAAACTCCATGGCAGAAGCCCACGTATTCCAAAATGTAAATGTAAAATAAGTGTAATAGTCACATATTCTGGCGGGTTGCTATGGGGGAATCTGTGGCATCAGCTTGAAACCACTGCAGTGGTTTACTTTTCATCAGATTGTTTCTGCAAGGTCAGACTCTCGACTGTAAACTGTTGTCCAGGCAAAAAGAAACGACCACTAGTAGCTCAAACTTGGCTCGTCCATTGCTGCGCAGAGAGCATTGGAAATAATTGACTTTAAAAGTCACTCCGGTTAATTACTAGTGGATGTTTTATTGTAAACAATATAAATACGGGTAATTTCATCTGGTCTTTATAAAACATACAGTGACTCAAAAAGTGGTTGCCCCACGCGAGTCTGTGCATTTCTATGTGCACGCTGGTGCTTTTTGTCTCCCTTTGAAGGGTTGCTTCGTTATCTTTCATCCCTTTTTGTTGTAGTGAATAATGTGGACCACAAGTTTTGAAATTGGTCCAGCAGTGAGGAAAAGCGCTGCAGAGGACAGCTACAAAAAGGGCTGCAATGTGAGCCGCTGGGGGCAACTCCTCACCTTCAAAGGCGTCCTAAAAGTTCTGCTTTTTGCCTCTGACACACTCCCATTGTTATAACATGTTTCTGACAAACTTATGGAAAAGGCCATACAGAGAAATGTGCTTTATTTTTTGCCTTCTGTTCGTTGTTGTGTCATTTACAACTTGATTTGACTGAACGAGTTATAGAGCAAGAAAGAGCAGCTTAATGTTATCCAACAAGATTTAGCTGATTTCAACAATGTGGCTGTAATGCAAGATTTCAGAATTAGACTTCTTGTGCAAAAAAGTAATTTATGCTTTCAGACACAATAATAAGGAGGAAACATGGAGGGCAAGTTGCATCAGCTGATCACATTACAGCCCGTTTCAGCCTTTTCACACATGCAACCATTTTTGTGTCCTGCTTAGACACAAATTTATGAAAAAAATGGTACAGAAAACAACTCTCAACGTGACGGGCCCCTATGCATGCATGTGCTTTGGCATGTACTATCGGTAGCGTTGCCTGGGCGTGTAGTTGTCTAGTATCCGGGGGCTGAAGTGGGTCACGTAGTGCAGGGCAGGATCCGAGTAGTTGAAGGGCGGAGGGTTGTGCTGCTGCTCGACGTGGTTCGGATACAATGTCTTGGGGAGGCTGAAAACAACAACAACAACAACACATGAGCCAATCAGAATGCAGCAGTGAACGAGAAATCCCCACATTCAACCCTCTGAACATACTGTTCGCTGGTAAAAATGTAGAGTGGCGTCGCCATTTCCTTTCACACAATTACTGCCCTTAGCCTGCACCATGCAGATGAGTATGTAAAACTGCCCCTGGTGGGGATTTATCTTCATCAATGCCGGGAGTTACATGAATGCACATTATGTACCTTTTGCATTAAATCCCTGACTCGAATTAGTGCTGTCTGCAAGTCTCTGTTCAACAGACATCGTTTAAGGCCATTTCTGGAAATGTTGGACAGCAGTTGTTGTGGAGTGACTCATGAATATTCATGCTAGCTCTAGCCAAGATATTCAGTGTTTAAAGATCTGGAGGCTAGAGCTGATTAAAAACAGGAAACACACGTCCCCGATGTTTTTGGATTGTATATTGTTACGGCAGCTCTTTGTGCAAATATTTACAGTATATATTTCGTCTGACGTTGAGGCACACGAGTAGAAAATACACAATTCTTGCAGATTACAGCATTCACACCTTCATGTAGTTAATTGATTACAGATGAAGCTTGGGTTGTTTGTTACATCTATACACAATAAATAAACAAAATTCTATGGTGGCCTTGTTGACAATAACCATTAAAGTCATCAGCAGAAATCACGTAACTGTTGGGTTCCCATGGTATGTGTTTATTTTTCTCATCCACCACCGACCCCTCGCACCTCTAGAGGACTTCTCACTCTCAAATACTACGTCCTGTGCTCTGAACGTCTACTAATGAGACAGATGGCTTTGCAATGGAGATTCATTTCATACAGATCCCGAAAGGTGCCTTGTGCGTTGGTGTCTTGACACTGACACTGACAGCCATCAGCCATCGGCTCAGCGCAGGTCCTTAACGCCCCGGGAGTGAGACCAGGCTGCTTTCTCTAAGATACTTCAACATCAAATAGTGGTTCTTGAACTCAAGTTAGTTTAGTTTAAATCAAGGTTGCGGTCCAGCGATAAATATACAGCATCCTGATGTTATGGTAATATATATACAATGCTATAAAGCATGTAAAAACCTATATTACACCCACACTTTCATACTAGTGGGGCATTGGGACATTGGGAATGCTAAATCAACCCATGCCTGTTCTATCAAATCTGAGTATTATTATATCATACCAAATAATCCAACAATATAATCCCACAACGCTTGTGTCCATCCAGCCATTATATCCATAGGGTCTAATTTAGTGTTAGTAGAAAAAGCAGGCCAGTCATCAGGGGGATTATGCATCTCTATGGCCCACAAACACTTGGCCCAGATGCCATACATCTGTACACATGCTGGGGCCAAGGACACACGCACATTATGATGCACTGCTGTGGACATTCACACGCAGGCACACATGCATCTGGATATGAGATCTACTTCATTCGATGTGGCACATAATGTACTTCATTTGACGTGGTACATTCAGCTTTGTAGCAAAATCTGATATTTTTCTGTGTGCACGTGAGGGTGCAGTTAAATGACACCAATCTCTCTTTGGCACAGACTTTTCAATGTGTGATTTGGCTAAAACTGTAAAAGAAAATGCTCCAAATGGTTAACACGACACGTTTTATAATGATTTATTGCCAAAAACTAGATACACAGATAAATTTGTGTTAATTACGAATCAGTGTAGCTTAGTTTAGTATAAATGCTCCAATCAGCTACCTTGGCACTGATCAAAAGTAACAAACCCTGCCTCTCTGCACCTCTATAGCTCACAAGCTAACCTGTAATACCTTTCCCCTGTTTGCATCATTTATGCTAAGCTAAGCTAAGGTAACCAGCTTTTAACAATAAGGCATTACGCGTAACGCATTATGGTACACAAAAGGATTTTCTTTAAATATGACACAAATGTCGACTTGGACTCTGATGAAATGATGAGAATTTGGTGGACAAAGGTCGAAAGTCAATGTGGCCTCACAAAACTCATTTAATCCAAGAATGAACAATGCTAATTGTGACCATTTCTAGCACATGACAAATGGTCAAATGATTAATGAGATTGTGGACAGACACGGATGTCCACTGCAACTTTACTCGTTGGCAGAGTCATACAAGCTTGAGCCACTTATTATATAAACAACACCTCTAATCTGTGGATGAGTTACCCTCCTCATTACTTTGGTTTACTGTTTATCATCTGCAAACATTCTTTGGTGTTACCCAAGTGCAGTTTCATAACGGACCAAAGCTGTTAGTAGGAAGTGTTTTCTTTTAATATAGTAAGCGAGTGGGCAGTCCGTCCCCCAACTGAGAACTTAAATACAAGAAGGCAGTGCATGGAGTACTGTACCTTGTAACAATGAGTATACAACCATGTGTGTGGTCTGTTCATCATCTTCAACAGTACATTTTCGTAACCCGAGATGAACCCGGTCTCGCCCCACCAAAAGGACCTTAAACAGCTATTTTCTTTACAGATTGAATGCACCGCAATGGGCCTTGTTTGGAAGGAATGTGGGTATATTGCGGGGCTATGGGAAGGCAGCAATTCTCATTACACACCCGGAAACCTAGTTGAATGGATAACCTTAGCGTTTTGTATTGCCATGGCCAGTGGACCTGTACGCTAATGTGGGCATTATGAAAGAAACTCTAGTGGGTGAAGAATGGACTGCTACACGATATTTCCAAAATAAGACCAAATAACTCAAATTAAACAGCAGACAAGCTGCAGACGAACAGAAATCTTGTGTTGGAGCAAAACGATGCCTTTTAGCAACAAAGGTTATGGTTTCAAAGAGGGAAATATGTGATTCTGCTGGACTGGCTGGAGTCTAACATTCTCTAAACGTGGCTTATTAACATTGTCAATGTGAGTTCTATTACAAAAACCGTAATGTGCCCGTGGGTTCACTCACTCTTTACGCTTCTTGCACCAGCAGAAGCAAGCCAGTAGTGCGAGGAGCAGCAGTAGAAGCAGAGGGATGCCGATGCCCAGCACCAGGGCCAGAACAAGGTCCAGTTCTGCATCCTTCGCCTTGTCTCTGTCTGCGAAGGGACAAGACAAACACAGTCACACAATTCTCTAGATTCCAAATGACCCACAAAACGGCCACCTTATTGAAAGACACAAGAGGCCTTTGTTTCCTATGCGATGGATGTACAGTGAGGTAACGCCGAGACCTTCACCTAGTATGCAGGACTGGGTTTCATCCACGTCGGTTGTGCCGTTGCAGACACACCTGTAGCCTCCGTAAGTGTTGCTGCACAGCGCAGGAGGGACGCAGTCCGCCTCCTTGGCCTCACACTCATCCAGATCTGTAGCCGTGGACAGCCACGTGGGCGAGAGAAGCAGTCTTACCAACGCGCATTTGAATACTTTCCACCACATCACTGTGCCAAACTGAACGTTGGCAGTGTCTCACATTATTCAGTCAATATGCTGAAGTTGAGTTAGGAAAAGAATTGGTAGTTTACCGTCAACTTCTACGGTACTCATTGAGTAGAGGCTACTGACTCTGGCCATGTAGTCTCTGATGTACCAGTGGGGTGTGTCGCTGGACACGTTGATGCGATACTCTGTCACATCCGGCCGGGAGCCCTGCACGCCATCCCTCTGGCTGGCGTTGTAGAATTTGTTCTGGAAGCCCATTGACAGAAGGTCCACCAGCCGCTGGAGTCCATCAGGTGTGCTCTTCGCCCAGCCCACAGAGACGTTGAACACGTTACACCCTGCGGAGGCAGAACGGCACTGAGTGGTGACCCCTCGTTACCATATGAGGTAAAGTAGAGCTTGTGAAGCCAGGGGAGGTCTTACCTGGAGGATTGGCCGAGTCACCTGCAGAGAAACACATCATTCACAGCTGCATTAAATACATGGAGGATCCCACTGAACATACGTGTGCATTATGTTTGACATAGTCATACATTCAGGGATTCACCATCAAGTTTATTTATGTACCTCGTAAAAAGAGGAGTGATCTTAAATCTAAAGGGTGTTGTAAACATCTGTCACACACTGAAAAACTAAATATTTTTGTCTGTGCCATTTGGAACCTCCTAGAACCTGTGAGAGCTGATATGTATGATAGCAAAAGTGTGTGAGTGCACATACCACACCCGTCCGTGTCCTTGCTCCTCCGGTATCTGCAGAGGCAGGCGACGGAGCCGGGCCCGTTCCTGCACTCAAACTTGGCATTGCCGCAGGTTGTGAGCTCTGCACACTCGTCTATATCTGCAATGAGGAGAGGACCATTAAAACGCTGTGAACGAACCGTGCCGTCATTCACACTGAAGTCGTGGGTGCTCAGCACCTGTGCAGTTATGTCCGTCGCCAGTGAAGCCCGTTTTACACGTGCAGGTGAAGTTTTGCCTCGTGCTGAGGCAGACGGCGTCTTTGTGGCAGGGGAAGGGGAAAGGAGGGCTGCACATGTCTGAGGGAAGAATGAGATTAATTTCATCGCGAGGTGGTGGAATTTTTGGCTGTAAACTTGATAAACGGGACAGCAAAAAGCGTTACGGACCGTGCTCAAAGCACTTGTATCCCTCTTTTCCCGCCGGGAAGGTGTTGTCGGGACACCCCTCACAGGTGAACTGGCCGGGCTCGGGGTCCCGCCGGCACCGCACCCCTCGGAAACACGGCTGGCCTCGACACACGTCTGCGACTTGGCCACAGAACTTGCCACTGAATCCCTTGGGGCACAAGCAGGCCACCACCTGTGAGGGACGAACAATGAACAGCACTGCTGATTCCCCTCAGGAGATGAATAAAGGGAAAATGGTTGCAGCGAATTAAAAAAAAAACGCACCTGGAAAGTTCCCTTCTGGTGGTTTTCGGTGACGCTGTCGTACTGGCAGGAGCCTCCGTTGAGGCAGTTGCAGACGCGCAGGATGGGGGTGAACAGGGAGCTGGAGAGCTGGTCACTGACCATGACGGTCAGCTGGACAGGCTGCGTGGTCAAGGGCGTCCACGTCAACAAGCCGTTGACTAGGACGGAGAGGGTCTAATCTCAATTCGGTGTTCCTTCAGAAGATTCTACGTATCAAAGACATGCATGAAGGGTGGACAAGCGCCTCACCGCTGCCTATGGAGGTCCGTGCAGGCCGGGGGAAGAGAAGTGAGTAGGTGATGGGGTCTTTATTGGGGTCCTGAGCGACGATCTGGACGTTGACGGTCGAGTTGACCCTGCAGAGAATCACTTTGGGCTCTGTCACTATGGGAGGCATGTTACCTAGCGGACCCCAACAAATCAGTCAGTGGTGAAAACACGAGAGAGAGAAAAAACGTTCTGAAAACAAAATAACCAACTCACCATAGATCAGAGCTAGGTTTTTATACTGCTTCTTGGCCTCCAGAGTCTGCAGACCCAGCTCGGAGCTGCCCGTGGCTACAGTGTCGTGGATGCACTGTGTGCTGCCTTCACAAGTCCTCCTCAGACCCTCTAAGTCAGCAGGACTGACGCTGGCCAGCAAGAGCTCAAAGGAGGCCGACTCCAGTGGAACCAGTGGAGGAGGAGAGAACAACAGGCTCTCTGGGAGGGGAACTGCCCCTAGAAACACACACAAAAAACAATTTAGACCAGGGGTGTCAAACATGCGGCCAGCAGGGGCCCAGCTTTGCACGGCTGGATGACTTTGCCATTGTGAAAATTACAGAAAGACAATAAATTGCATTTCTATAAAAGTAGATGCTATTCCTGATCAGTCCACTGGGGGTCGCCAGGTGAGTGGCGTGGATGATCCCTAAATATTAACTCTTGCGGTCAATGTTCATCATGTCAATGAAACCCAAACGTTGAAGTCTTTTGATCCATTGTCTTAAAAAGCTGACCGAAAGAGAGAAGACTCCAGCTAACTAACGGACTGAAGTTCACTCACAGGACAGGCCGAAGGTGTGCAGTTCCTCCTCTGAGGGGGAGTTGGGGTCCGCCGAGCGGAGGGGCCTCCCGTCGGACATGAGGAAATCGTCGGAGGGCATTGAGCTCCAGAGACCCATCAGGCCCACCGTGCGGTTGTAGAATGTCTGCGGAACCTCCACCATGGCCGCCATCTGTTTGTGGCCGGCGACCCGCCACGCCACCACGTGGAGTCCACCGGCGTACACCGCCACGCAGCGATTCACCGACGTGCAGCGCACCGCAAAGTCCTTTTCCCCCACGTGCACGACGCCTGAAAGGAGACAACGTCACATGCTTTGTCTGCATGTCTTGGATCTGAAATACCTGCCTTTGTGTGTTTTATCTGTGCAGCATGCAGTCACACAGAAAGTGAATATGTTTTTTAAAGCTCTATGTCGGAAGCATGCGGCAATGGTTACCAACTGTGACTGGGACCTCAACGCCGTCCACAAAGACCTGCAGTCCGTCTCTGTTCTCCACACATCTCCATTCAATCTGAAAATAAAAGAGAAGGACTTACACATGTGATCACATATTTGTTTTTATAACTATTTAGCATGCTTTAAAAACTGAATGGACATCTGCATGCCAACCCATTGGGTACTCACTAAAAAGAGTGGAATGAATAGTTCGACAAATGTGGATCAATTATTTGATTTAATTTAATTGAACTCAAAACACATGTAAATGGTTTGTAAGTAATTCACGTATCTGTGTTTCCTACTGAAATTCCTTTAGTTCAGGGGGGTCTTCTGATCGGACAACACAAACCTTTCCGAAGTGTATTTAATCTCCCCAAGGAGCTCTGTCAGATCTTCCTGCTCCTCTCAGGGAGAAGGGATGATCTGTCCCTTTTCAGCTGAATTGAGTCATTTGACTTCTGTCTGCACTTATGGCTTGTGTTGATGATTTCTGTATTCTTTATGATTTTTCTTAGTAATACATACTTATCCCAAGCAAGTTTCAGACACTCTTGATTTCTCACAAGGGCTTAATCCACAAAATACACACACACAGATCCACTCTCTCGCCTCTAAAGACACACAAACGACCTGACCTTGCCAATGCCCTGGTAGAAGGCGGCCATGCGCACCACCGCTGGGACCTCAGCGATCCCCTTTGTGTCTGTTTGCAGTTTGTCGGTCTGTCCTTGCAGGGTGAAGATATTATAGCCGGCGCCGGAGGAGAGGCGCAGTATGACAAACACTCCCAGCGCCTTGAAGGTGTACTCGGTGCCGTCGAAGGTGATGATATGGAGGCTTCCGTACACCATCGCTGCAAGGGAAGCGTGTATGAATTCATCCGGATTCAGCCTCTTTGATTGACACCAGCATACCCACAGTTTACACTGACTACTGTGCAGTCTGTGAGCTTCTGATGGTTTCAACTCGCTGGGTGTTTACTCGAAAGAATTTCTCACCGACACCCTGCGTCCCCTTTCCCTGAGTGTAGCCGTGAGGACTGTCCCAGCCGTAACCCTGGCAACGGTCTAGTGGTCTCTTGTTGAGGTAAAAGTGGCACAGAGGGGACTCCATACAACACCACTGGAATGGCAGGAGATCTTCATCTGGAGAGAGATTTGATTAAATATTTACACTAGAAGTCACGGATGTGTCTTACTCAACCATGAGCAAGGCACTAACTTTTTCTTCTGGTGTTTGAAAAATACTTAATATAATTAATATGAGAATTAATGAGTTCCATGCATCGATTACAAATACAATAAAGTTTACAGTACAAAGCTCTATTAGAAACAGTTCATTTGTATAACATTTTTCCATGTGGGAACTGTCAAGAAATGATATTACCGATATGTTTCTGCATGCTGTTTCTGGAGAAGTAGCGCTCACTGTAGCCGGCCAGCAGGGGACCATCAGGCTCGTACACGCACCTCTTCCCTGACCCGCGCCTGTTAGAAAGGATGGACTGAAAGACGTCACCCCCCGCGCCTCCCCACCGCTGTGCCCGCAGCTCCTTCACCCTGGAACCCGGATCCGTAGTGTCCTGCAGGAAGGACAGGTCCTCCTGAGCCTGGGTGCGGGTGCAGGGACACGAGGAAAGCTCCATTGTCCACTCAGCGGGGTCCGGCTCCTTGGTCGCCCACGCTTGGCAACTGACGCGCGGGTCCACGTCCGACCCGGACCGTCCCTTCAAGTCGTACACCAGCTGACCCGGCTTCCCCGTGACCCCTTTCAGATCCTGGGGCCTGTATCTGCCCCCGGGCCCAAAAAGGTTTCCCGGGGGGACCGTGGGCTCCTTGTAGGAGGACTTCCCATCAGTGTAGCCAATGAGAGCGTCATGGTGCAGCCTCCGGCCCGGACCCCAGAGCATCTCCCCGTATCGCAGCAGGGCAAAGGAGCGCACTCCGTCCGTGGTCAGGATACACTGGAAAGTGTTGGTCTGAAAATGACGGTGATCAAATTCGGTGAAAGTCCACATGAGCTCTATTTAAAGACATTGTTATATTATTTCCTTCTCAAATTAAAATAATTATTGAAGAGCCTATTAGGAGTCATAATTGGGTGTAATTAATCCTTGATATATTAACAATACCTCAAATACAAAGCAAAAAAAACGGACATTGCAAGAGAACATACGGCAGGTGCCTGCAGATCTCACGACATCCAAGAGGTGCCCCAAGGTGGTGCCAGAGTTAAAGCACCACTGCTCCATCATAAATTCTGCTTTATCTGAGCTGATGGGTGAAAGGTTTCATATTGCAAAGAAACCATAAACACTCCCTGTCCAGTATTATGATCTTTTTATATTCTGCGTTTCAACCCTTCTTACATATGGTTTTATCCTGAAGAGAATGGAAATAGGAGTTATTCCATGCATGATGAATAGTAAGCTTCTTTGTTCTCTCATCCTCAATATGTACCAGGATTGCACGAATGAAATAGTTAGAGATAAAACTGCAGTCAGAAAAACAAACCAGCGTGAAAAGCATTGCTGCTTGGCATTGCATTGATGACCATATTTGCATCTAAATTTGGCTCGGCGTAAAAATAAAAGAGAAAGAAAGAAAGATTTGAACCTCTGAGTGGTCAATCTCCTGAAAGGCGACAGGTATCACTTGGTCCCAGGTGATCTTGAGGATCCAGGCAGGGGTGAAGGCAGGATTATTTCTCCCCTCCTCAAACTTTGACACCTCGTTCGCCGTACGGTTGAAAACTATCTGGGAGTAGATGTTCGCCATATCCAGTTTATGGTATTCCTGAAAGTAGTAGTAGTAGTAAAAAGATCTTAAGGAGTATCAATGTAACGCATGTGTTACAAAATAAAAACCTATAAAATGATAAGATATGATAAACCGGTTTTCAAACAAAGACAAAGCACTTTGTAGGATTTGTTTATCTGCATTGTTACAACTGAACAAAATAACTAAAGCAAACTCTGGTCAGACCGTGACCCCAGACAACATCCAACCTGATAGAGTAGCCGTCCGTTCCCACGAGTGAGGTCAGCATCATCCCAAAATGCCGCCAACAGAGACACATTCATGTTTTCAGGGAAACCGGTCGCCGAAGGGGCCGGGAGCAAGTACTGCTCATTCTCAGTGACAGATTGAAACTGGACAAGGCCGTTGTCAGAAAACTGAGAAAGGGAAACGCAGACATGATATCAGATAGATAGAAATTAATCATTAGTATTAAAGCAACATGTTTTTTTTTCATTTCATTTTGTCCTGATTTCATCATGAGAGCTGTGGGAATTTTTGCTTCACTATTTCACTGCTGGAAACCCTTGTGCACATTGTGTGAGCCCCACGGGATCACAGGTTCTATGGGTGATGTTATGCTGCTATCAACGCATTGTAAAAAGTGAAGGTTATACAGGCTATGTCTTTATATTTCCACCAGGTTAGGGGGCTGTAGCTCCCCCATTTATTCCTGAATCCTCCTCTGGAGATGTTTGGAAAGGCTGTAATTTATTGTACACCACTCTACACTGCAGACTTATGGTCAAACTACAACAAAAAAAAACCTGACCCCTCCATTTGAAATGGTCTGGAACTGCTAGAAACTCACATATACTCTCTCGTACAATCTTCCCATGAAGGGGAAACCCATTGGTGGAGTAATGTACGGGGAATTTCCATCTTCAGCGTCCATTTTTAATCCTTTATCACCAACCTCCGCTCCAAACGGGTACAGGCTACTCTCTATTGGGGAGGAACAGACAGATATTATATTATATATATTAATATATATATATATATATATATATTATATATATTAATTATATTGTCATCAACCAAACTGAATGAGGTCACTTCAAAATCTGAAATATTACACAATAAGACATTTTTCTTTATGTTTGATCTGTACTAATCAGGCTCATGTAAGGCCATTGCCTGGGTAGCAATGACCTCAAACCACCTGAGAAGTGATTTGAGAAAGCTTTTAGATTTTTTCACCATAACTGGAGACATTATGGATATACTTGTAGGCAGGCACTGTAAATTGTTTAAAAGTAAACATGGCTTGTGAGGCGGCAGAGAAACTTTGACGGAAACCTTGACATCCATTCTTAAATGTAGTTAGATAACGTTGGTTGCCTTTCATTTTGATTTGGACGTTTTCACTTAACAACAGGAATGTGGCAACATTGTGACAGTCAAAGAAATGAACAGATAAATTTAAAAAATACGATTAACGTGTAAGTGTTACCAACCCATCATCGTTCGGCAAACCGTGCTGTCTTTTGGACAGGAACACTTGTAAGACCCTGGCAGGTTGGTACAGATTGTTTGCCCAGGACATGCCTGGCTTGACATGCACTCATCCATGTCCACACATCCTCTTTTTCCACTACAATTTTCTTCGGTAGCATTCCAACCCTGACCGCAAGAGCATTTGAAGCCTCCTGCATGGTTAATGCAGGTCGCCGCAGGGTGGCACAGCGCATTAGCCTGTTCGCACTCTACAAAGTCTACACACAGTGGCCCGATACTCACAAAGCCAGGCTGACACACACATACAAATGACCCTGGGGTGTTGAGGCAGCGAGCGAGGGGGTGGCACGGTTTGGTCAGGGCGACGCACTCATCCACGTCTTTGCACGAGGAGCCATTTCCAGCGAAGCCTAAAGAGCAGTGGCATGAAAAGGAGCCAGGCGTGTTCCAGCAACGCGCCGATCGGTGGCACGGTGAACTCTCACATTCGTCGGTGTCGACACATGCCCCTTTCTCCTCTCGATGCCCCAACGGGCAAGAGCAGTTGTACGTTCCCGGGATGTTGGTACACACCTGATCAAAACGGCAGGTGGTGTTGTTCTTGCATTCGTTAATATCCTCGCAGCGGGCGCCGATGGTTTTGTACCCAGGTGAACACAGGCAGAAGAAGGAACCTGCTGTGTTGCTGCATAATGAGTGCTCGGGGCAAGGGGGGCCATCGGCGGAGTTACACTCATCCACATCCTGACACTCCGCACCATTCAGAACAAACCCTTGATTACAGGGGCAACGGTAAGACCCAGGCAAATTGACACATGTTGAATGATTCCGACACACCGAGGAGTTGAGGGAATCTGAGCATTCATCCACATCCACGCACTCCGTCCCATTACTCCAGAATCCTTTGATGCATTCACAGTAATACGAGCCGATAGCATTCATACAAGTGCCATTGGTGCAAAGATCCACTAGCTGCGTGTCATTGCATTCATCGATGTCCACACACAAAGCATCCAAGCGCGAATATCCATCCTTGCAACGACATACGTGGCTTCCGTTGGTGTTGATGCACGTGCTATGCTTAGGGCATGTAGAGTTGTCTTGGCACTCATCAATATCCTCGCAGTGAGTGTTGTTGCCTTCGTAGCCTTCCCAGCACTCGCAGACAAAAGATCCAATTGTGTTTAGGCAGTAAGAGAACTTAGGGCACCGTACGAAGCCAAGAGAGCACTCGTCTACATCCAGGCACACTGAGCCATTGCCAGAGAAACCTGGATTACAGGCACATTTGTAGCTCCCCTCCATGTTAGCACAAGTGCTGTTGTCAGGACAGGTGAAGTTCCTTGTCACACATTCATCCACGTCCTGACAATGTGTCCCATTGTCCTGAAACCCTTTCCAACAATCACAGATGTAGGAGCCAAACGTGTTGTGGCAGTAGGAGAAGGCGGGGCAGACTTCCTCATGCGATTCCTCACATTCGTCCACGTCCAAGCATTTGCTGCCATTTCCATTAAAACCATCTTTACACTTGCAGTAGAAGGACCCCTGGTGTTGGCGGCACTTGGCGAATGGGTCGCAGATGCTATTGGCATTTAGGCAGGTGTCTTTGGTCACGCATGTGCCCTCGTCATACACCAAGCCCAAGATACACCAACATGTGTAGGAACCAGGGGTATTGTTGCATGTCATGTTCCCGCTACAAGTATTAGCCTCCCGACATTCGTCCACATCCACACACACAAAGCCATCACCCTGGTATCCATCTTGGCACTGGCAAATGTAGGACCCATTTGTGTTGCTGCATAAAGCCCGGGTGCTGCAGTTGTGAGGCAGGGTGGAGTTCTGATCACATTCATTTACGTCTTGGCAGTCAAAGCCACTGCCTGTTGTGCCAGGTGGGCAGGCACAGTAGAAAGATCCCGGCGTGTTGTGACAGCTGGCAACTGGATGGCATCCTCCATTTTGGACTTGGCACTCATCAAAGTCTATAATTTATCCAAAAATGGGACAGTGTCAAAGAAACAAGTCCAAATGGTGCGAGGGGGGAGTCCACTTATGGGGCAAAATAAACAACTGGTGCATTGGTTATTGAATAATAAATGATTGATCCTCACCAGAGCAGTTCTTCCCGTCACCTGTGAAGCCGCTGAGACAGAAGCAGGAATGGTTCCCAATTGTGTTGACACACCGTGCAAACTTACTGCACTTCTGCTGCCCTGTCTCACACTCATTCACATCTGGAAAAGGGTGGTAGGGAGAAACACAGGGGTGGCGTTTAGCGGCATCCCTTCAGAGGACAATGCTTTATCAGAGTAAAGGAGGTTTGTATGTTTTTGAAGCCAGGTTTTATACATCAACTTTTATTTGGTAGAACAAACTGGACAATATGTCAGAATTCAAGAAAGTCATTATTCTGATGCTTTCATGTCTAATTGAGACAACAAATTGACAATTTGTCATTATTATCATTAGTAAATGTAAGCTCAATCTCCCATTTCATTGAAGTTGCAATACCATACCAAAACTTGCCTTCATAATATTTGAAAAAAAATATTTTAAACCACATCTTATTTTCCCAACAAACTCTATAAATCTTTATCTCCATGGTTTTCTTTTTGATTGATTGGTCTAGAAAAGTGAAATTAATTATAGACAAGATAATGGCTTATATAGAAAAGATGTGGTATTTTGTACACCTAGTTTAGCTTCTGAAATACCCTTTTAAGTTTGAACTTGGAACCTCTTTTGGTACAGCTAATCCTAGGCAAAGAACCACACCGCATTGTCTTTGTTATTTTACGTAATATGCCCTTGTTATGATTGACTCAATTACTAAACTTATGAGAGATGTGGACATCAGTTATGGAGTTATGGAACCAAGCTAACACATTTATCTGAAACAACAATATAACTATCTTACCACGACACAATGATCCATTGAGACTGTAGCCTTTTTTGCAGACGCAGGAAAACGATCCCGGGATATTCAAACACTCGGTTTCATTTTGAGGACAAAGGTTTTCCTTCTGACACTCGTCTATGTCAGAGCACGCCAGCCCGTCGCCCACGTGACCCAGGTCACACACACACTGGTAACCGGCAGGTGACTGGTGACACAGGCCGTGACTGTGACAGGGAGGGTTGCACAACGGACTGGGTGGCATGCAGGTGCCATTGAAGGCCACTGTGCCATTCAAACATGAACAAACATAAGCACCGGGGGAGTTGATACACTTTGAGTAGGCCGGGCAAATGGTATCGGAGAGGGCGCACTCGTCCACATCCTGACAGGAGAAGCCATCACCTTTGAAACCCCGCTGACAGGAGCAGAAGAAGCTCCCTATGAAGTTGGTGCAGAGCGCCCGTGGGTGGCATGTGCCTTCGATAGAACACTCATTTACATCTTCACACCGGGTGCCATTTGCTGAAAAACCTCGCTTACAGGTGCAAGTGTGGGACCCAATAGTGTTGAGGCACGTGGCGTTGACATGGCACGGGTTGTCTGTACACTCGTCCTTATCAACACAGTCCATGTTGCTGGCTGGGCGGTAGTAGCCGACCCGGCAGGGGCACTCGAATGTCCCGTCGACGTTCTTGCACTCTTCATTCACTCGGCACGGGTTGATCCGCTCCACACACTCATTTACATCCTGACAAAGAGTCTGGTTTACCAAAATGAAGCCCGACTGGCACTGGCATGAGAAGGAGCCCCGGTTGTTGACACACAAAGCTTTGTTTCTGCAACCTCCATTATCCACTAGACACTCGTTCACATCTGTACACTGTATCACCCCATCTCCAGAGTAACCCACCTGACAGGTGCAGTTGTAGGAGCCGGGGAGGTTGATGCAAAAGCCGTTAGAGTGGCACTGTTTTGCAAGCGTGCACTCATCCACATCCCTGCAGGTGAAGCCATCTCCCGTGTACCCTGCTATGCACTGACAAGAGAAGGAGCCAGGCGAGTTTATGCAGTTTGCAAATGGGCTGCAGCGGCCCTCAGAGCATTCATCCTGGTCAAAGCAAATGGAGTTGTTGAAGACGAAGCCGCTGCCACAGTCGCAGTAATACGACCCGGGAGTGTTGACGCAGGTAGTGGTTGAAGGGCAGATGTTGGGATTTGCACACTCATTGATGTCTTCACACAGTCGACCGTCTCCTATAAAACCACCAAAACAGGAGCACTCGTAGCTCCCGATTCTGTTGATACAAGCAGCAGAGGGATCGCATTGATTGTTTCCGTTGCATTCATTCACGTCCGCGCACGTCAGTCCGTTTCCGTCAAAGCCACTGTTGCAGGTACACCGGTACGACCCTACGGTGTTGATGCAGAGTGCGTAGAGACTGCACACGTTCCTCGCACACTCGTCGACGTCCACGCACCTCTGCCCGTTGGTTTCGTAGCCGCTGCTGCACGTGCAGCGGAAGGCGCCGGGCAGGTTTATACAGCTTGTGTAGCCAAGTGTGGAGGAACACACAGGAGGAGCCTGTGAACATTCATCTACATCAAGACACAGGTAGTTCCCGTTGCCCTTGTAGCCAGCATTACAGGTACACATGTAGGACCCGGGGTTGTTGGTGCAGGTGGCGTTCCAGTGGCAGATCCTTTGGTTGGTGCATTCGTTAACATCATTACATTCGAAGCCGTTGCCCGTGAAGCCGGCGTTACACATGCACTGTCGGCTACCCTCAGTGTTTGTGCAGAGGGCATTGGGATTGCAACCCCCGTTGTCGTTTTGGCACTCGTTGATGTCCTGGCAGCTGAAGCCGTCTCCCACATATCCACTTGGGCACGCACAGTCGTAGCTCCCCAGGCTGTTGCTGCAGCGGGCCCGCGGGTGACATCTTTGCAGGCCAACCAGGCATTCGTCGATGTCGTTGCACAGCAGGCCGTCGCCCTGGTAGCCCATGCGGCACGTGCAGTTGAAGTTGTTTCTGACTGCCAGACAGTCGGCCTGAGGGTGGCACCTGCTGCCCGCCGCCGCACATTCCTTCGGGTCGACAACTGAAAAGGACGAAGAGGGAGAGAAAGTAGCCTATGAAACGCTGAATGTGATTATGTGAAAACTGAATTATGTGAAATGGAACTATATTTGTATCTCTCTTGATGTCTATTGTCACACTGTCTACTGTCGCACACCAACCGCCAAGACAAATTCCTTGTCTGTTTGACATATTTTGGTAATAAATGTTTCCTGATTCCTGATTCCTAAAGAATGCAAAGATGGTGTCCGTAAAAAATTAGATACCTGCACAGCTGTATTCCAGTACTGCGAGTAGACTCATCAGCAACAGGGGTTGAATCCTGTATGGGCAAAGAGAAGACTCGTGACAATGTTTGATATGTTTCCGAAAAATAGTGGCCATATACTGGATGGTTTTTCTTTTTTTAATCTTACTAAATACAAGAGATATGGGAAAAGAAGAGAGAGAGAAAGAGACGCTCACTGTTACCTCAACCTCAATGCAAAGTGCGTGTTTCTGCACAGCCTCATCCCACTGAACGATGGGGTCTGTGGTCACGGTTGTTTTACACGGATAAACGTAACATCTTATTCTGACTCACCAACCAGTGTGTCATTCTGCTCTGACTTGCTATTTATTCTAGAAGAAGTTAGATGATGTAAGACATATTCATTAAATTGTTAGTACAAAGTTTACGGTTACGGAATGGCGGTTTCGTCATTCCTGATGTACCTGTTACCAGCCATATCAATCATCAAGTTTAAACAAAAAAGAATTTTTAACCTGGGCTTATTCAATGTTTCGATTTATTTTTGTAAATGTGTGCAAATTACCAAATATATAATACATAGTGCTTTATTGGCATCGTTAAACATTACTTAAAATGAGTTTTTTCTGCAACGTACTTGACAGACCAGTCAAACAATATATATAAATATATATATATATATATATATTTTAAAGGCAACGGCACAAAGGGGTAATTGAGCTGAATTACAGGAATAATGACAGCAGGCCCCGTTGGTTGTGGTTGGGTTACCATCTAAATGTCAATATTTGCCGGAGGCCTAGAAGGGCTATAGAAGCCTCAGTGGAAGCCTCTGAATGAAGATCCCTAATGTGATGGCAACTACAATAGAGACGGTTATAACGACTTTCATAATGTCCATCAACAACTGCAACACTTGTAGCCTTCAAAACTTACGGCTTTAAGGTGCAACGGGATCACTGACGCTACAAGCTAGGACACTCCCTAATCTGAAATCATCTACTCTCTACCTAGTGTAAATAAATACAGTTATTCATAATCAAATAAATTTACATCTTGCCAAGAGTTGAATTATAAAATACGAGTCTTTGCTGAAATCACTACACCATAAAAAACAGAGAAGACGCGTATGTTAATCAGTGGGGTTTAAAAATGCTCGGTGCATTTAGTTTGGACAGACGGCTGACGTTTTTCTACAGTTTATGCTTAACTAAGCTAATAATCTGTGACTGAAGTTTCTTCAGGATACAAATATTGCAGTTGCATTTACAAATGAACACGTCAATCCATCATTGAACAGAACAAATACAAATCATTTCTACATAACTGAGCAACTGTTCACGACAATAAAAAGCGAATTGATGACAATAATTGTGGTTAACAATGAACAACCGGTTAACAGTAAGACACAGGTTTCATAAGGTTTTTCCAACAAAAAAATTGCAATGAATATACCAAAATTATTTGCTTCCGAATGTGCTCTTTCTGCTTTAATCATGTAAAACATGTGCTATGAAAATAAAAATGTATAATGGGTCACATGAGTTTACTGATCTGATCTACTGTAAGTAGAAACTATTAAAACAAGTCTCAAACAACAAAGATTAGCACTCACCACATATTTCCCCGTCTCCTGGTGGGCTTTGACTCTTTCTCGGGGCACAAATTGGGATCACTCTCCTTTACGCCGTTCCCCACAGCATCTACCCCCCCGCTCTCGCCAAGTGGCCTCTTGCGCCTCCTTCTCCTCCACCTCTGTGCTGATTCCTCCGCCCCTGGGACACTTGACAATGGCCCCCGCCGCACCATACCATGCACGGCCCTGACATCGTAAACCTCTGGGAAGGGGAACACCTATATTCCCCTGATTATGTGTCAGCCCTCCAACAATAGGTGGACCGGTCCCCGGTGGCACTTGGTTTTGTTCTGCTCGCTGTAAGACGACAGAACCACAGAGTGTCCTCCGTCACCCTTTCATCAAGGATTGCTGATATTTCCCGGCGTGATATTTCTTGTCTTTGTTTGAGTGAGTATCAAAGATGCTTTTCCTGGGTTTAAATATAACCATTGAGAGGTTATATAACCAGGCCTCTGGTTTACCCTCTACTTGGTAATACATAACAGTGATATCATGATCCTAGAAGTGTGAACTGAATTGACCAGTACATTGTTTGCAATCACTGATCAAATAGTACTCGTATGGCGTTGTGTTTTCTCCGCAGATAGTGCAGAGATAACGCGATGCCGAGCTGGTTTACGAGCTCCGTGGGATCGATTGTCGTGGCCTTTTGACATTCAAGTCATACTGCCGATTGTCTGGGTTGTTTATCGCTTATCGGTCTGTGGCTGATTCAGCACCGTTTGAGCGATCGCTGACTCTGTGTCGCACTCTCCCAGAGGAGCATTTATAAGACTTCCAGAGCCACGCTAGTGGTTTATTGTTAGGTCCAGCAAGGCTTTGCTAACCGGTTTACAATCCCTCCCTTTCCGTTGGACTTTAAAAAGTATTTATGGCAGTCAGCTGCAGGATATATATCAGAATTTACCTTGTAAGTCCAATTTTGTCATAACATTTTTAAAGCATCCGTAAAAATGTTTGTTGTATTCAAAATTAGGAATCACCGGACGGACAAAGGACATCGCACATCGAAAGGTTCAAATCAAATGTATTTAGTAAAAGAAAGGGTCAGATGAACAACATCTCAGAACAATGGTTGCCTACAGCTATTTATACCGATCCGTAAAGGTGTGAAAGTTAGTGTCCACACCTCTGGGAGTGGTCTTCTGGTGAGTTCATTGTAACTCGGATTTCAAATGACCCTCAGTCAATACCAGTTGTTGTGCTATTAAGTGTTACATGCATGCATTCCAGTTGATTACATTACATTAAATACAATCAGAACTGTACATTGATATTATTTGATTACAGTTTTAAAATTACAGTGGTTTTACAATATTGTCATTACCTAAATGATTACACAGTTTCAGAATCATGGCTGTATTCTGGTGTACACTAAATGCATTTCATTCATTTATGAACCGTCAGTTTATTTCTAATATCCAACATTTTTTATTGAAAGAATACCCAAAAGACCCGTCTTTCACTGAAGCTACGATAGCCCAGGATTCATTTTACACTTGATCTGATGATGCCCCTCAATGAAAAGTCAGAAGCACGCCACAGATTTGGGATTCACCCCGAGAAGGAAAGGAATGTAGGAACCGACATTTCATGGCGATCCCTCTGAGCATCATGATAATCATGCAATAGGTCCGGAAAGTAACTTCCCCAGTTAGAAAATCGAATTGGGCGTTAATTTGGGAGTTTTTCGGTTTATAAATTAGCTTTATCTAATCAATTGTTCCTTTATAATTTGATATATCCCAACAGACAACAATTATGTTTCAGAGGTCAGAGCACAATTCAGATAATAACTGTGAATTCATTTTTTATTTATTTGTTGGGGTTATCACAAGTCAAATATAATTGTGTTTATTCTCAAGTAAACCTGCCATGTGTAATTAATGGGTATTTTTTTAAACTGGACAGGACAGGATACAGAACATAACCAGATTTTGTTTCTGACTAATTTTCTAAAACATATGTTGATGAGGTTTTTGTGTTCATTTTATAGAAGTTGCTAAGAGAAGGTGTTTCGATGCTTCTTTTGCATCACCAAGACTGACATCTGGAGGATAAAGCCAAGAGCTGCAAGTGTTTCAGACTTCTTTTCTTCTTGGAATTCTGAGGAATTTGCTTTTTGGAAACACTAATGAACCCCTTGCGTGTCCTTTGCGTGCCCTTTTCACACCTCCCTGCGCGCGCCGACCCATTTTTTCTAGGTGACGCACGCGACGCAAGCCATTGGTCCGCTAACTACGTCCTTTACGGAGTCTCACATTTCCGTTTTCATAGCACAATACCGCCATTATTAAAACGAATAATGTTTTACGAGAGAACGGAGCAGATTGAAGAACTTTTGTCGGAAGAAATGCGTAAGTATGACCGCTTATACAAGCCGTCATTGGCGGACTAAAAGGACGCGCGGATGGCCTCTGATTCATGGAGGGAGATCTCCGCAAACGTCGGTTTGCCGTTCGTGAGGTGTACAAAGTTGTGGAGGTGAATTCTTTAGATAAAATCCCCAAACCAAAACCCATTCATTCTCTATGGTTGTGCTAAACCACTACGGGTGTAATATATCTTTGGCCACCGGTGGCGCTGTTGTGCGGACCGAGCGTTTGCCCGGATGTAAAGCGTTTCTCCGGACATTCTCCGTCAGTCTACCCGGGAAAGAGCACCGAAGCGACGGTGCACCTTCGTCGGACCTCGCGCTACGAGGAAGTCACTAAACAGTAAGTCAAAGACATGTAATGTGTAATAATTATTCAGATAAATATGCAGCATGTCTATAAATGTAATTTATGTTGGTGTCACGCCACATGTTAGTTTATAGTTGTGTTCACGTGTGTTTGACTGCATTAATTACTAGTTGCATATCACAGATGTAACTCAACTAATAAATGAGGATCTTGTAATATATTAAACCACCAGAATTGTTTAAAGTCAGTCAAATGTAAACACATTAATGCCCAATGATTAGGATAATATATGATATATTTGGCATCACGACTAGTTTTAATCTTACTTTAAAAAAAGTTAATTTAACTTAAAGTTAATTTAAGTCCCTGAAGCCCATGTACTGGGGACTGGCACAGCGCTGCAGCGCTGCAGGCATAGAAAAGGCACAATAACAGTGGGTAGACAGGTAAATTATATCAATATTTTTGACCATCATTGGTGACACAAACAGCTCATAGTAACAATTTAGATTACTTTTCATTTTTTTCAGTTTCATTAAAGAAAAGCCCTTTGCATTCAATTTTATTTTGATGACCATATCCACCGGTGCACACATGGTGGTCTATATGACTGCTGTCACATCGATGGCTTTCCTTTTCTTTTTTCTTTCAGGGATTGCTGTGTTGCACTTAAGGTGGCAGAGTCGTCTGCAGGAGAACATCTGAAATGGGATTCTTGGAGAACAACAGATTGCCAATGTCACGTCTGGCAACCATCACATTTTAATGCAAACATTAATATCAAGCTGGACTTGTTTCACTGCATGAGGCGGTTCCTCCGTGAGTGTGTGTCGGTGGCATCCCGCCCAGTACAGTTCCTTTGCTCAGTTCCTCTGGACTGGGACAAGCACAACAGCAAGACAGATCACACCCAGGCCCCGAATCCACCAGTCTTTCATGAGCTTTTAATGAAAGTTTATATTTATTATACAAGTATTTGATTCTATAGGTCAGAATGACTTATAATACTCTGTCTTTTGTTCCTGTAGAAACTCTACGTCTGCCGTCGCTGGCAGTTATCGACCTGCTGCTCAACAAACACCGTGAGCAGAAGGACATGCTGAAGCTTGTGGACCAGGACTACGCTGCTCTAGTTCACAACTCCTGCACAGACCCCAACAGCATGCTCCACCCGACAACAAAACTACATGTTCTACAATATGTAAAGCACCTCAGCAAATTGTTGAACACCAGTTCCTCTTTAAACGTCAGTCCAGAAAAACTGCAAGAGAGGCAGAAACTCTGTCACTCTCTGACAGAGGCGAGTGAGACTACTAGTGTGCAGGTTGTTACGATGTCTGTTGCATTTGTTCACCCACCTCCACCTGTTCAGATGCTGACACAAGCTTCTATTGAGAAGATTGTACCCAACATCATGGAAAAGCAGCAGCAACATAAACAGGAACAACAACAACAACCGGGGCAAAAGAAGGGCTGCACGAAAGACAAAGTTCTTTCAGCTAGAACTGGATGCCACACAGAAAAGTTCCATCTAGCATTTTAAGTCCAATTATTTGTAATATTCATGTTGTAATTAGTTTATATATTGGTTTCTTGCATTTGTGACTTTGTACATTGAAATATTATCATTTTATTCTTTATATTTGGTTTTAATATTCATTAGTTTAATTATTTAGATGTCTTTATTTCTGTAACATTTTTGTTTGTATAGGACTATACAAATCGGTTGATGTATCTGTGTTCAACATTTACTGTCCAAGTTAATAAATATATTTCAATTACTAATGTCTACATGTGTCATCAATAAGTGAATCACTGTAGTGAACAGTAAAATAAGTTGGTCTGTAAGTACAATCTAGTGATAACCAGTAGACAGCAGATTGGGGTAAACATTTCCTTTATTTGTTATTTGAGATGGATAAGGTAGGATGGAGTGGGAGGTGAAGGAAGGTGTTCTTCCACGTGTCCAGTCTCAGGCACAATATTTACTTAAATGTACATGAAATAAAAATAAGGCAGAAATGAGGTAAGGGGAAATGTGCAAAACTGAGCAGATTGTAAAAATGAAAAGATGAAATGAAATGTGTGCAATATAAATTAACAGTACAGTTAATTAAAGCCGACCAATTAAAAAAAAAAAAACATTTAAATAAATGTACATGAAATAAAAATAAGGCAGAAATGAGGTAAGGGGAAATGTGCAAAACTGAGCAGATTGTAAAAATGAAAAGATGAAATGAAATGTGTGCAATATAAATTAACAGTATAGTTAATTAAAGCCGACCAATAAAAAAAAATTAAAAAAACATATTTAAATAAATGTACATGAAATAAAAATAAGGCAGAAATGACTTAAGGGAAATGTGCAAAACTGAGAAGGTTGTAAAAAAATTAAATGAAATCTGTAATATAAATCAACAGTACAGTACAAGTGAAATCCTGACAAGCGAGTTAGGTTTTAAAGCAGCCAGAGTATCCCTGTTTTTTTTGTTTTGTTTTTTAGATCTTTTTTTTTTCAGAATTTTTTTTTCAGGTAGATGGATGAGGTAGGATGGAGTGGGAGGTGAAGGAAGGTGTTCTACAAGTGTCTAGTCTCAGGCACGTTGATGTTGACGTCCTGGATAGTCTCCTTTTTCTTCTCTTCTCTCTCCTATGTCTTTGTCTCATTGTCGCTGGAGCTTGTGCCTCATTTCGTCCATCTCCGTCTGCCGGTCTTTTTTTTTTTTTTTTTTTTCAGAATATTTTTTTAGGGTAGATGGATGAGGTAGGATGGAGTGGGAGGTGAAGGAAGGTGTTCTTACAGGTGTCTAGTCTCAGGCACGTTGATGTTGACGTCCTGGATAGTCTCCTTTTTCTTCTCTTCTCTCTCCTATGTCTTTGTCTCCTTGTCCTGGAGCTTGTGCCTCATTTCGTCCATCTCCGTCTGCCGGTCTTTTTTTTTTTTTTTTCAGAATTTCTTTTTTTTCAGGGTAGATGGATGAGGTAGGATGGAGTGGGAGGTGAAGGAAGGTGTTCTCACAAGTGTCCAGTCTCAGGCACGGTGATGTTGACGTCCTGGATTATCTCCTTTTTCTTCTCTCTCCTATTTCTTTGTCTCCTTGTCCTGCATCTTGCGCCTCATTTCGTCCATCTCTGTCTGCCGGTCTTTTTTTTTTTTTTTTTTAAGTACAGGCAGATGTTTTCAAGGACTGTTTTGTTGTCCTCTAATTCTGGGATCCTGGTGATACGGATCTAATGTTCTTTGGGGATGGTATCCTCTGTTTGTTGGATCTTAGAGATCAGGCACAATACAGTGAACCCACTGCTTGTGACCATCTCGTTGTGGATATCCTCTTGGCTCTTTTTCAAATTTAAAGATTTTATTGTCAAATAT